GGATGGGCATGGAGGAGGGCACTTGTGGGGATGAGCACTGAGTGTTATGTGGAAACTAATTTGACAATAAACTATTTGTTAAAAAAAAAAAAAAGAAATGAAGGTCATGCCTTGAGATGCAAATTTTAGAGTCATCAGTATGTAGATGATAGTTGGAGCCTCAGTAGTAAGTGAGATATTCAGGTCTATTATATACAATAAAGGTGCTCAGTCTTGGTTGTGTATCACAAGCACATGTGATTTTTCACAAGTGTAAATGCCTGTGCCTCATCCCTGGAGAGTCTGATTCAGAGAGTCAAAGAGGTGGGGGAGTGCTGAGCCTTTTTTTTTAAATCAACGAGTAATTATTATGAGTAGCCAGAGTTGAAAACATCCTTTGTGTAAGCGTAAGGGAAAAATCCCTGAAATCTAATGACATTTAAAGATTCATGAGAGGAAGAACCAGTAAAGGAGACAGGAAGAAATTGCCCAAAGAAGGAAGAAGAGATTCAGGTGGAAATATTATTCTGGAACCCAGAGGAGAATAGAACGCAAGATATAAATAATGCTCAGAACATTCCAAGATAATTCCTTCAGAGATCAGCTCTCCTTTGAGAATTCTGACAATCCATTAAGACCCAGCATAAAATCAGTCTTCTATGACTTCTTTTGATCACGTCAGCTAGAAAAACCAATTTCTTTTCTGAATTTCCTTGTCTGTATCCCTTATTATTATCCTATTTAATATGTCCTTGTATTGAAGCTATTTGAGTATAAATCCTATTTAGACTATTTTGGCTTCATAAGGTCTTTTATATATTTTGTTATTATTATCCATTACTCCAAATATATTGCATATAAGAGCCTCTCAATAAATATTTCTCAAATACATGGTTATTGCCCTATCATTAGGAGTTCACAATATAGACAGGAAGGCAAGAACATGTGAAATAATGACTCAATCAAGTATGTCAAAGTATTTAGTACCTGAGATTTTTTTTTAACTGCAATTCTGATTTTTAAATCAACTACATTACCCCTGAAATCTATCCAACTGAAAAATCATATTCAGCAAGGTAAAAATTGTTGCCAACTGGTATGTTTGTGATGCAAATTGTATTTAACACACATATCAAATAAGAATGTCTAATTTACTTGTTTTCTCCTTTTCTCTTTATAGAGGATAAGGATCCTAATTTGGACACCATGTTGAATATCCCATCAGCACTTACTACAACAGTAATTCCTGTTATAGTGACTGTTCCTCAAGGCAAAGGAAAACCAAAATCAAAAGGCAAAGAAAAACCCAAAGAATCTCTTAAAGAAGAGGAACACCCAAAAGAAGAAGAGAAAAAGGTGCATGGACTTGCCATGGATTCCTAAACTCTACTTCTGCCTCAATGTTAGCTTTTTTAAAAATCATGAGTCACGTCCATAGTGTTATTACAGTACATATATGTTATTGTGTAAATGCATTAACATTCCCTGAAGCTTCAACTTTGAACAAACAAGAAAGAAGAGGTTTGCACACAGGAGCTGGATCCTTATGTCAGGAGACATATTGTCATATACAGTCTCAGGTCTTTCATTCTAAATTCAGAATGACAATTTCAGCCTTTTTTCCACTCTGTTTCTTGAGTATTCTTTGCTTTAGGTTGGTTAAGTTCCTACCATTCTCTAAATACTTTATTTAGTTTCATTAGATAGACAACATTTGAAAGAGGAGTATCTCTAATTAACTAATGGAAGTGCTTCCATTTGATAGACTTGGACTTAGATACTGATGCGCTGAGGATTGAAGGACAGCCTGCTTCTGGCTAAAGAGCCATTCACCCTCTACCTCCAACGTGCCACCAAATGCAAACACACACTCCCAGAGGCTTTGATTCCAAACATGTTCCTAACAGAAGAATACAGATCAAAAGAGAGGCAAGAAGAAAATCACGGAAGAACTCTTGACTCTTTTGGCATTTACCAGGACAGCTGTGCAGTTTGTACAACGTACAAATGCTCAACTTATTAGAATAAAAAAAAGCGGGGGGGGGGGGGGNGGGGGGGGGGGGGGGGAAGTGATCAGGGATGTTGATTCCAGACCTCAGCCCTTTAAAAGTCATGGGGTTTGTATGCTACTTAGCCTTTCGTTACCATATTTATTTAGCTTTACTAAAAGATGAATTTCCTCAAGCCAGGACACATGACCCTTGCTAAGTAAGAATTGCACGGTAGCAGAATAGCCCTGGATCATTCATTCGTTTGACTGAAAGCAATTTTATAGCAAACCAGTGAGCTCACCTAAAATTTTAAAAAAGTGACGCTAATAGCAGGATGGGAGATAATTACTTGTTTTTTGTGCAATGATACATTTGTCATGGCGGGTTCGTGTCTTTATGCATTATTGTTCATTTTACAGGATTTCATAATTTCTTTCCTCTTAATTTTGTGTTTTTAATTGATTTTTAGCTACATATTCAGATTTTATTACTTATTAGTAACAAAGTCAGAAAAATTTAAATGAGCAACAGTAGAAAACTAGTTAGAGTAAACTAAAGATCGAGCAACAAGTGATCGGTTGGAATGATTTTAGTGGCTGACAAAAGAGAGTTGACTGGAAATTTTGAAATTATTCTCATTAGGGGTTTGTTGGAAGCAACCAAATAACTTTCATTCTGGAATACAATTAACCAACCAGGTATCCAGTCATAGTTAGCATAAAATTAATTAGGATTTTTTTCAGTTAGATATACCCAGTCTTCATTAGTTTCTAAATAATCTTTTTATGCTTTTTAAATTGTTTTCACCTCCTACAAAAGTAATACCTGCTTATTAGAAAAAAACAAGGACACGTATCCTGACAGCATAACATCTCTAACACCCATACTTTACAAAATACACACAGTAGGTAGTGGGGATGTCAGTGAGCCCTTACACCCACACTTGCAAACAGAGACATCTTTCAAGGCCTACTTCAAGGCCCTACTCCTCCATGAGCCTTTCCTAACTATACTCATTAACTTTGATACCTTCATTTTTTGAGTAGAGATGTGCCAACTATTTGGTACCATTATTTAATTGTTTCACATGTCTGTGCACCATTCTACAAGTAGAATATAAATTGCACAAAGGTAGAGACTCATGTATTTTATAGGCTCCATCACTAGTCATGGTCCCATTAGTCATGGGCAAGTCATATCTTAAGCACTCAGCAACTCCTTGCTTTGTCATAATAGATCGATAGCTCATTTAGAAAATAACAATTATTCACGTGTTAACCTATTTACAGGAAGAAGTGGAACCAGAACCTGTTTTACAAGAGACTCTTTATGTTCCCACTTTCCAAAACCTAAACATGTCTTGCCCGAATGGGCTCCTAGTGACCTTCCTTGGGCAAGAGCCTACAGGTGAGTGTTAGCTGGTATGGAGCAGGTAGGGAGTGGAGCAAAAAATCTTATAGAAAATAATTAAATCACCATTAAAAGTGTATATTTTCCTGTTAGTTAAACATACTTGTTAATAATGAACAATAGGCTAATAATAATAAGCATCATTTTTTGAGCATTTACAGTTAGCTTGGCACTAAGTATTTAATATACACGAAAAAATACAACTATTATAGGGTTCTTGGGTGGTTCAGTCAGTTGAGCATCTGAGTCTTGATTTTTGGCCCAGATGATGATCTCAGGGTTCATGATATCAAGCCTGTGCTGATGGCCAGGAGCCTGCTTGGAGTTCTTTCTGATCCTCCCCTGCTTACATTCTCTCGCATGCTCTCTCTCTCAAAATAAATAAACATTTAAAAAAAAATACAACTATTTTAAGCTAAGTCCTAATAATTCCATTTTACAAAATAAATTGAAACCTCATGAGGTTCATTAACTTGCCCGAGTTTACTCAACTCCTAAGTGGCAGAGCTAAAAGTCCATTCCTGGTCCAGTCATGGCAAAGCCAGTACTCGTAACAACTATTGTTGTTAACAGTACTCTTAACAATTATTGTTAAGAGTTAACTGTCTTCTTGCCTCTATAAAGGGCCACAGGTAAGTGAACTTGCTGGTCTTTTCAAAACAAAGTGAGCACAAAGTAGGTCAAGTGCAGCTTGAATGGTTGAAGGAAACCAGTCTTGTTGCCAGGTAGCAGCATGTAATTTTATAATGTCTTATTTCTGTATGGCCTCTAACTTATCAAGATGAATAGATAAGTGCGGGTAGGATTTGTTTAATCACCTTGATTGGGGCATTCACATTGGTGACTGAATTTGAATATCACTTAAAGTGGAGACCCACTATTGCAGTAGAATTAACAGAAGCAGCAATGCAAGCATAGGCCTGGGACTTGAGTTCTGACTATATGGCCCTTTCAGTTACTATTTCTGGACCATGTTTCTTCATCTATAAAAGTCGTATTGTCTCAGTGGATCTTGATATGTTTTCACAACCAAATATCCTCTTTATTATAATCTCCTATGTGTGCCATATTGGAAAAGTGTATCCAGCAAGGGAAAAGAGCATGCCTCCTGAAAACTAATTCAATGTCATGTGTACTTGCCACCCATATGAAAAGAAACTAAATGTTATAGTTTGTCTCAATCTTGTTTTTCATTAGGCTTTACTGATTATTAAACATAGACCATGAATCTTGGAATCTATTTCCCAGGATCCCTACTAGTCCAGGTTTTTCAAGATGGGATTGACTGTGTAATGGTCACAAAAGGTCTTCCAAAGTCAAAGATGTTATGAATGTACTAAGAGGGATATTTCTACATCAGAACATATTGTTTGTTTGCTTGTTCACTCGATCCTATTATCAAACTCCAGCTTAATACCTGTTTCACCTGTCTTTTTTATTAGTGTCATTATAGATAATATAGATATTAGTGCCATTATAGATATTTTCATCTTTATATCACAGTAGACAATGTGGTTAATAATGCCTCTGCTTGGGACACCTAATATTTTAAAAGTCTTCCATATATTATGAATTTCCTAATTCAAGTCTGAACATAATTACAACATAAATACCAAAGTAGCCATGTTTTATTAGGGTCAGCCTTGGACAGAAGGAGGGAAGGTCATTTGAGACAAGAAGAAAGAGCTTTCTTGGGTGACCTTGGACAAGTCACAACCCCTCTCCACCTGAATTTCTTCATTTATAAAATAGTGTCATGTATTCAACAGGGTTGTTATAAGTATTAAATGAGAAAATACTTTCTAATCTGGAGCATACTATTCCAGTGTTAGGTTTTGGGGGTGGGGGGAGTTTTTTGTTTTGGGGTCTTGGTAGCAGTGGTTGTTTTTACAGCATGAGAAAATAATTAAGCATAGAGACCCATTCAACCTCCAGGCCTGCCACTTCACTGTGTGACCTTGGAGAAGTTATGAGCCTTCCGAGCCTCCATTTTTTCATCTGAAAACCCTGGAAAGTGAGTGTCTCCCTTAAAAGTTTGTTGAAGTGAGCTGAATAAAAGACATATACAAAGCATTTAACATATAAAAACATCTCAGTAAATGCTTATAAGTTTATTGTTAGCAATACTTCTGTGACTTAGAGGGTATCATGAAGGGCCCTCATTCCAAAATATTTTCTAATTAACCTGAGATCATCCTTGAAATGCCATCATTGCATGTTGATAAACCACTTTATAAATTGAGACGAGGACAATATTCAGTTAGCAAAAATGGAATCCTCATTGATATTTTCTTTTTTGAAGGATCTTACCAGGTGCTTTTCTCCTTGATTGCCAGCTGAGAGTAGAATGCTGAGAAAAATCTGGATTTGGTGGAGATGAGGGGATTATGTTAACTCTGAAAGACGATGAATAATTTAGGCAGGGCAAACCTGAAGTGAGTGACTTCCCCTGACCTCCAGGCCACCAGGGGACACCAGGAGGGCATTGTACATCCAGGAGCAAGAGCTTAGTCAAGGGCAAGAGAAAAGTACCAAAAGGGAGAAAAGGGAACCACTAAGACAGCAGAGCTCTGCCTCCTTCCTAATTTTGCCTGAGATGTCCTAGAATTCATGAGAAAGAATGGGTTGTACATAGGAAAGGTACCTAGTAAGTACCTATAGGTGACCTTATTTATTACATTGACTATAGCAAATGTAGAAAAGAACCAGTGCTCTGTGCTACCTGTCATGACATGGAAACTGTTCTATTAGTCGGCTGTAGACAGAAGAATGAAAACAATTAAGCAAAAAGATAAAACGCCAGCCACACAGCATTGCCCAGTTCACATTAAGGCTTGCTGGTTTTTTTGTTTGTTTGTTTGTTTGTTTTTCCAGATCAGAGTGCTGTGGATGAGGAACCCACTTGGGACATCATGATCCGGCAGAGCTACCCCCAGAAGGTGAAGCACTATGAGTTCTATAAAACGGTGGTCCCACCTGTGGAGCAGGAGATATCGAGAGTCATCACTAGGCAAGGCACTGTTGTCAAGTACATGTTGGATGGATCCACACAGGTAAAAGAACATTCGATAAATAATTCTCCTTCCTGCTGCAAAGTACAATACAAACAACTGATGAGGAAGGAGTAGCATTGTGGTAGGCAAGAGGGAGAACTCACTTGGAAATGGAGTGACACTGAAGATGACAAATTGAGACTAGTAAAGTCTTCTACAATACAATTATTTGTATCCTTATTATAAATAAGCTTATTCCATATATGGCCCAAGACTGCAGATTAAACACAGTGTTCACCTCCTCCACCTCTCAAGGCACCTTAAAATAATTTTAAAAAATACTTTTGAAGAATAAATTCACAACTGCACTGGAAAACAACTAACTGTGTCATCAGTGGATCCAAATTATGTAAGAATTTCTAGAAAGTAAGTCAGGTGAGATCAGACTGATGGAAAAACATAAGAATGTTTAAAACCTGCACAAGGGAAAACCTGCAGCAAAATCATAACTCAGAAGTTTTAACAAAGTATTTCACAGATGGAGCTCTGTGGTCAGAAAATCGAGTTAGTGTCCCAGGTGACTCACTGCTACTTGGAGGGTGAGAAGCAGACATCATTACACCCAAGAGTTGTATGTCCTGCTCTATCCCTCCCTAGCACCCAGAGGATACACCACCAAGAAGTGAACAGGGATTCTCAAAGAGAAATAGGACCGTGTATTTCTCTTTGAGAGTCCACGTTAGAGAAAAACCATCTGTACGGAAGTAAATCTCAGGGTAATAAAAAAATTAAAGACAGACCGCCTAAAAAGAATAGGTAAACAAAAAACTAGAAAGTGAGTAACAGTAACATAGAGACTTGAGAGGTAAATAGTCTACAAAATAACAATTTAGAAAAGTTGCTATGAAAAAAAATCAAGAGTTCTTAGATACTAAAAATGACAATTGTATGTCAAATCACTATGTTGCACACCTGAAACTCAGATTATATTATATGTCAGTATACTTCAATAAAAAATTTAAGAGGGTACGCCTGGGTGGCTCAGTCAGTTAAGTGACCAACTCTTGATTTTGGCTCATGTCATGATTTCATGGTTCTTGAATTTCAGCCCCATATCAGGCTCTGCACTGACAGTGTGAAACCTACTTGGGATTCTCTCTCTCTCTCTCTCTCTCTCTCTCTCTCTCTCTCTCTGCCCCTCCCTTGTTCATGCATGGTCTCTCTCAACATTAATAAACTTTAAAAATATAAAATAAATAAAATTTAAAAGGAGAAAAAACAAGAAGAAAAATAGTTTTGAAAAATTAGTGGCAGGGAGAGAGTGAATTATGAGGGAGAGAAAAGTTAGGAGACATGGAAAAGAGAGCTGAATACAACCTCTAAAAGAAGAAAATTGTGGGAGTAAAGGAAGAAAATAAAGAAAGAATAATACAGTGGATTTTCCCATAACTAAAAAAAATATATTTTGGATTAAACAGGACAACCAAGAACCAATCAGGATTGATACTAATAATGTTCTTTAAAAGATCATCTACATATGTCATAGACCAATTTTGGGACTGCACAGATAGTCCCAAAAGCTTCCTAAAGGAAACCATTTACTTACTACAGAATGAGAACAGGATGGACATTAGATTTCTCATGAGCAGCACCTGGTGATGGTTCTTGTAGGTTATAGAGGCTGATCCGGACAGATGTATCTCTAGTTCATGTAGACACCATATATACTAGATAGATGTTGACAGACACTTAACATTGAAATATGTGATAATATTTTAAATGTACACATTATATAAGTTGAAATAGAGGGGATAATTTTCCAGTGGCTTAGGGGAAGGATAAAGAATGGAGAAAATAGGAGCACCTGGGTTGGCTCAGTCGGTTAAGTGTTCGACTTTGGCTCAGGTCATGATCTTCCAGTTTATGAGTTCAAGCCCTTCATCAAGCTCCATGCTAACAGCTCAGAGCCTAAAGCTTGCCTCAAATTCTGTGTCTCCTTCTCTATCCACTCTCCCCCATGCATGCTCCATCTTTCTCTCAAAAATAAATAAACATTAACAAAAATTTTAATGGAGAAAATAAAAACTCAAGTTAATCCAATAAAAGACAAGAAATTAAAAAAAAGAAAGAAAATAGAAGGTAAATGGAGGGGCCCCTGGGTGGCTCCATTGGTTAAGCATCCTACTTCAGCTCAGGTATGATCTCATGGTTCGTGCATTCAAGCCCCACTTCGGGCTCTGTGCTGACATGGAGCCTGTTTCAGATTCTGTGTCTCCCAGTCTCTCTGCCCCTCCCCAGCTCGTGCTCTGTCTCAAAAATAAGTAAACATTAAAAAAGGTTTTTAAAAAAGAAGGTAAATGGAAAACATTAAATAATATTATTGTGCTGGTTATTAAGCTATTCTAAGTTATTCTCTCTGAGCTTCAAGTCTACCTTCCTATATTCTGTTTGTGATGCTGAGTCTGGAGGTCTGCAAAGATCATTTTTCCTTTGGATTAATTTTAACTTATATCAGTTTGACAGTGTTAAAGGTCAACCAGCCTGTTCTTGCTTCTGAGAACGTAAGAATTTCACTTTTCCTTCAGATCCTCTTTGCCGACGGTGCTGTGAGCAGTAGTCCTGATTCAGGTCCTGTTTGTCCTCCTGCTGAAATGCCAACAAGCCCTCACAGCGGGGACTTGGCGGACACAGCTTCTCAGCAAAAATCAGAAATAGTGCCATCTGAGATTGTCATCACAAAGAAAGGTAATAATTGAAGCCTTTCCATTTATGATGGATTTAATACATCTTCACATGCTTAATAAATGTTCATTATTGTTATTCTTTTACTTCTCATCTTTTCTGTGAATATATTCATGTATACTCATATACATATGCATAAATTTTTTTTTTTTTTGCTTAGCAGTATGCATTTAATTTTTTTTTTTTTTTTTTTTTTTTTTTTTTTTTTTTTTTTTTTTTTTTTTATCCCGGGTTATTTTAATACAGTTAATATTAACAATTTATTAAAGTTGAAAAATCTTACACAAATATTAATCTTGGTGGTATGCTGTGACAATATGNTCAGTTTTTGTCAGCATTCAAGAGTCTCTCATGGTTTGCCTCTCTCCCTTTCCCCCACCATTTCCCCCCTTCTTCTCCCCCTTGTTCTTCAGTTACATTAAGTCTAATGCTGGGCTACTGTTTGAGGGTTAGTTGAACAGATCAGCAAGATCAAGGTTCTCAGTAGGCATTTCTTTGACTCTCTTGACCTTTTCCTCAGAGCTACAAGAAGGCCACAGACTCTCATGTAGTAACCCTCAAAGCAAAAACCAAAGAGACTAGACATAAGCCTTCCAGGATCTCTCTTTATCAGGAGCGAAAGCATTTCTGGATCCCACCCCCTTGCCCCATCAGAAGACCTCCCTTTCTATGTCACTGACTAGATCTGGCCAGGGATCTAGGCTGGGAAAACAAGCATTTGACTTTTCTGGCTTTTATTCTCAGGAGATGCACACTACTAGTAGGGAAAAAAGAAGTTGAGTAACAGTTGAGTAAGCAAGCAACAGTGTTTGCTATAATCTAAATTAGGAAATTGCTCTCCTCAGAGGTGTTCTTGATTTACACGCCTACCTTACCTCCAGTGTTGTATGAAAATGTTTCCTTCCTCACACTCTTGCCAATGCTGGATTTCCTCATTCTTTTCATCTTAGCCCATTTGATAGATAATTAATAATCTTACTATTATGTTAATTTGCATTTCTCTATTACTGGTGAGGTTAAACCTTTAATAATTTTTATTATGAATTTTTCTATTCACATATTTTCTTGGTTTACTGTTGGGATGTTCATTATTTACATATTTATTTGTAAGAGATCTTTAGATGTCAGAGATGTGTGTCTGTGTACCGGGCACAATTATGAATACTTTAAAATACTAAATCAGTGAATCCTCATAACAACCCTGTGTGATATGTATTTTAATAATCCCACTTTATAGATGAGGAAATGGAGACACAGAGAGATTAAGTAGCTCCCTTGAGGCCTCTCAGCTAGTAAGCGGGAGGGCTGGGATTTGAGTCTGGGCACCTGCATTGCAAATGTTTCTCAATCTCTCATTTGACTTAAATGATCTGAGTCCCGGATTTAATCTTCTTTGTCAGTTTCACATACACCCCCTCCCCGCCACCACAGTAACCAGCAGCCACGAGGCAAACTGAATTCTTTTTTTGATTACTAAAAGTTTAGTGAAATAGACACTTCTTTAGTAGTAGCACAAGGTCCTTGGTTGAACGCGTCCTCGTAGCTTTCAAACTCCCCAGCTCAAAGGCTCCTTCCTTTTCTTTCTTTCTTTCTTTATTTAATGTTTATTTTATTTTTGAGAGAGAGAGAGAGACAGAGCTTGAGCAGGGGAGGGGCAGAGAAAGAGGGAATCACAGAATCCAAAGCAGGCTCCAGGCTCTAAGCTGTGAGCACAGAGCCTGACACAGGGCTCGAACCCACAAGCCTTGAGATCATGACCTGTGCCAAAGTTGGCCGCCAATCGACTGAGCCACCCAGGTGCCCCAGGGTCCTTCCTTTTCTGATAGGAGAGGACTTCATGTAAGGGTAGCCACTTCTTTTCATGCCCTGAGGGTTTCCAAAGGACTTGCACCACCAGCATGGTGTGCTACAGATTTCTTCGAAGCCCTCCCGTCCAAGATGATGCATTCACTTTGAAAACAAAAACAAAAACAAAAACAAAAAACAGAGAGAGAGAGAGAGCGTGAGAGCACCCGTGCGCAGGAGAGGGGCAAAGGGAGAGGGAGAAGCTTAAGCAGGCTCCACACTTCAGCGCAGAGCCCAATGTGGAGCTAGATCCCACAACAGTGAGATCATGACCTGAGCCAAAATCGAGAGTCCAACATTCAACTGACTGAGCCACCCAGGTGCCCCTAGGCTTAATTTTTAAAAAAAATTTTTTAATGTTTATTTATTGTTGAGAAAGAGAGACACGGAGCATGAACAGGAGAGGAGCAGAGAGAGAGAGAGAGGGAGACACAGATCCTAATTAGGCTCCAGGCTCTGAGCTGTCAGCACAGAGCCTGACATGGGGCTCGAACTCAGGAACTGTGAGTTCATGACCTGAGCCCAAGTTGGCCACTCAGCTGACTGAGCCACCCAGGTGACCCCCTAGACTTTATTTTTTAAGAGCAATTTTAGGTTTACAGAAAAAATGTGCAGAAAATACAGAATTCTTCCATCCTTCCTCTCTACCTGGCTCACAGTTTTCCCTATTTTAAACACATGTCTTACAAGTGAGGAACCAATACATTATTATTAACTGAAGTCCATAATCTGCTTTAGGGTTCAATCTTTGTGACGTACATTTCTAAAAGTTTTGACAAATGCATAATGTAGTGGATCTACCACTACAATATCATACAGAATAGCTTCCCCTCTGTGTAAAAAAAACAAAACCTTGTGCTCAAGGTGTTCATCTTTCTCCTCACCCTCTCCCAAAACCCAGTACCCATGAGCCAACTCTCTCTGTTCCCCTCCATCCAGGACTTTGGAACCGCTAATCTACTTTCTGTTTCTATGGATTTACATGTTCTGGACATTTCAGATAAACGGAAGCATACAATATAAGGCCTTTTATGACTGGCTTCTTTTTATTTAGCATAATATTTTCAAGGGTCATCTATACTGTAACTTGTGTCCGTACTTCATTTTTATAGTTGAATAATATTCTCTTGTATGTATACCACACTTTGTTTATACATTCATCAATGATGCGTATATAGGTTGCTTCCACTTTTAGGAAATTACAAATAAAGTGGATACAAACATTTCTGTACAAGTTTTTGTGTGGACATATATTTTCATTTCTCTTGAGTATGTTTCCCAGGAGTGGAATTTCTAGAATAATAACTCTATGTTTCTCATTTGAGTGCCTGACAAACTGTTTTCCAAAGCAGCTACATTATTTTACTTTTCACCAGCATGGATAAGGGTTCTTATTTCTTCACGTTCTTGCCAACACTTATTTTGTCTGTAGTCATTCTAGTGGGCATAAAGTGGAATCCCAATTTGCTTTTGATTTGCATTTTCTTAATGCTTAATGATGTTGAACAGCTTTTCCTGTGCTTAGTAGCCATTTGTATATCTTCTCTGGAGAAATGTCCATTCAAATGCTTTTCCCAATTTTTTAATAAGTTATTTGCCCTCTTATTATTGAGTGGTATGTATACTTTGTATATTTTGGATACAAGTTCCTTATCAGTTACATGATTTGTGAATATTTCCCCCCATCCTTTGGGCTCTCTTTCCACATTCTTGATGATCTCTTTTCATGGTGTCTGTTTTGCTGAAGTCCAATGTATGTCCCCCCCCTTCCCAGTTACTTGTGGTTTTGGTATTATATTTAAAAAATTGCATAATCAAAAGTCACAAAGATTTATTCTTATATTTTCTTCTAAGAGTTATATATTTTTAGTTCTTGTATTTGGGGTTTTTAAATCCATTTTTATATAACTTTTTAAAATTTTTTATTTATTTTTGAGAGAGAGAGAGAGAGAAAGTGCACAAGTGGGGGAGGGACAGAGAGAAAGAGAGGGAGACACAGAATCTGAAGCAGGCTCCAGGCTCTAAGCTGTCCAAGCAAGCTTGAGCTGACGTGAGGCTTGAACCCATGAACCATGAGATCATGACATGAGCCGAAGTCAGACATTCAGCCAACTAAGCCACCCAGGTGCACCTTTATATAATTTCTTATATGATAAGAGATAGGGGTCCAGGTTCATTCTTTGAGTTTATTAAAAAGACAATTATTTCCCCCCATTGAATTGGTTGGCACCTCAGTCAAGAATTAATTAACTACAGGGGCGCCTGAGTGGTTCAGTTGGTTAAGCGTTCGACTTCGGCTCAGGTCATGATCTCGCAGTTTGTGGGTTCAAGCCCTGAGTCGGGCTCTGTGCTGAGAACTAGCTCAGAGCCTGGAGCCTTTTTCAGATTCTGTGTCTCCCTCTCTCTCTGACCTGCTCACGCTGTCTATCTCTCTCTCTCTCAGAAATAAATAAAACATTGAAAAAAAGAATCAATTAACCACAAATGGTAAGGTTTATTTTTGGACTCTTACTTCCGCTCACTGATAAATGTGTTTGTCCTTATGCCAGCATCTCACTGCCCTGATTCCTATAGCTTTATACGTTTGAAATTGAGAAGTATGAGTCATCCACATTCGTTTTACTTTTACAATGTTGTTTGGACTGTTCTGGGTCCCTTGAATTTCTCTATGAATTTTAGGGTCAGATTGTCAATTTCTGCAAAAAAGGCAACTGAGATTTTTACAGATTCCACTGAATGCATAGCTAAATTCTGAGAATATTGACATCTTAACCATATTGTCTCTAATTCATGAACTTGGGATATCTTTCCACTTATTTAGATTTTCTTATAATCGCATCCAATGCTGTCTTACAATTTTCAGTGTACAGTTATTACAATTGTTTTGTTAAAACTTTCCTAAGTCTTCCTCTTCTTGATCCTATTTTAAATGGAATTGTTCTATTTTTGGATTGTTCGTTGATGGTGTATACCAATACAACTGATTTTTTTGTATTTTGAGCTTGTATCCCAAATCTTGCTGACCTTTCTTATTCTACCCTTTTTCGTTTTGCAGCAACTCTGGAGATAAGATCCTAACCCCCAATGTTTGTTGTTGTTGTTGCTGTTATTGCTGTTTGTTGAGTGACTTTACTGGGCTTTTTTCCTTTGTCCTGTGTGGCTCCTGAACTCTGCTCTGTTAGCTTAGTGGTCAGCTAGTGATTAGGCAGGGATTCCCTTACATGCCTCAAGCCAAAAAAGGGCTCCCAGCCTTTGCCAAGGGAATGTGTGTGCCAACGGATGCCTTCCTTCATCACTCTCACAGTTTAGACCCAAAGTCAGTTGGTGTTTCTCAGATCTTTCCTGGATATGAGTATAATCCTGCGTGTGCGTGTGGCCTTCTAGACTCCTAGGAAAATGGTGGAGTTTTTCAAAGTCCCTTTGGTCATCTCGTTCTCTAGCTTTTCCTTTTAAGTGTTTAGATCAGCCTCTTGTTTGCCCCAACTGCCACTGCTGCCTCAGACAGCCACACTGTAAACAATTGCCACTGAATATTTCGGCAGGAGCTCCAGGAAAAGGTGGCTTATAATGAGTGAATTCTGACTCGGGTCAGAGTGAGGATTTTCAGGGTGTTTTCAGAGAAGTGAAACAATGACAAGTGTCTGGGAATGGGGCTTTCAGGGAGACTTGCAGGACTATCTGCCCCCTTCGGTGGCTGCCAGGTTGTCACAGCTCTGTGACTCCAAAGGCGACTGCTGGGCTGGAGATGGGGCGGAGGAGGTGTGGGGGGAGGGGAGGGATGCAGGATGAGAACTGGACAAGGAATAACAACATAAAGCAGTTGCTCTTATTGAGATTCAACTGTTTCCTTGAATTGTTTCTTGGACTCTTGCAATTCTTTGGTTTATGTCTAGAATTCTGGAAGAGTTGACTTTGTCATTTTTTTCCCCCAGCGTTCTCACGCTGTTTTGATGCAGGATGGTTTTTTGAAGGTCCTTTCTTGCCATTCCAGAAGTGCTTCTCCTGTCTCACAAGAAATACTCTTTAGAATTTTCATTATGTTTTAGCTGTAAATATTTTCTAGTTTCCATAATGACCTCCTTTTTGACCCATAATATTTCTAAATTTCCAATACTATAAAGTGTTTCTAGTTTTTTTAATAATTGATTTTTAACTAATCTTTTGAAATTTATTGAAACATTATGGATAGCCTCATATATGAGCAAGTGTTTTAAAAAGTCTGTGTGTCCGTGAAAGGGCATGTGTCCTATAGCTATTGAGTATAATGTTCTCTTTATAGCTATTAGATCAAACCTGTTAGTTGTGTTGTCCGGTTCATTTCCAGGTTCAGCAAACCTTTCTGCAAAGAGAAAGATAGTCAATATTTGAATTATATTTTGTGAGCTGTATTATCTCTATCACAACTACTCAACTCTGTCCTTGTCCCACGAAAGTAGCCATAGAACCTACATAATCAAATGAGCATGCTGTATTGTGTTTAAATAACACTTTCTTATGAACACGAAAATTTGAATGTCATGTAATTTTCATGTGTCACAAGATAATATTATTCTTTTGATTTTTTAGTTATACAGAAATGTCAAAAGAAGTGTTACTTCACAGACTATACAAAAACAGACAGCAAGCCATATTTCCTCTAGAGGTCAAATTTACCAACCAGTACTGTATAACTTCATGGATATTTTAAATCTACCATATCAGTTTATTTCAGCAGAAGTATGTTTAAACAAGGGTAGAATAATCTATTCAGTGCTATACTCCTTATAGTTTAATCTTTACTTCTTCATTCCTGAAATGATTGCATCTTTTTAATAGTTCTGCAGATTTTTCTTTATATACTTTGAGGATATAATTTTAGATATGGGTAAATTTAGAAATTGTAATATCTTCATGGTGATTTTAACATTTTATCGGCATGCAATGGCTTTTCGTTTTAGGATTCTTTTTTGCCCTAATGTCTATTATATGAGGGCAAAAGTATATTTTGCTTATATTATTATATTATTCTAGCCACACCAGCCATGATCTATTCCCTTTACAGTGTAATTTTTTCATACTTTATTTTACTTTCTGTGGTTTATGTTTAAATGTGTCTCCTATGAGCAATTTATAGGGGAATGTTTTAAAAATTCAGCTTGATAATATTTATCTTTTAACCAGAGCTTCTAATCCATTTACCATATAACAGATAGTTTCTGAAAAATGTGTTTATGTTGTCTCTGTCCTTGGATGATAACTTCACTGGATACAGAATTCTGGATTGACAGATGTTTTCTCTCAGAATTCTCTCTACAAATATTCTCTATAGTCTTCTTGCTTCCACTGTTGCTGTTGAAAAGTTGGCTGTCCCTCTGGAAAACAGTGTGGAGATTCCTCAAAAAATTAACAATAGAACCCCCCTAGGACCCGGCAATAACATTCCTAGGAATTTACCCAAGGGATACAGGACTGCTGATGCTTAGAGGCACATGTACCCCAATGTTCATAGCAGCACTCTCAGCAATAGCCAAAACATGGAAAGAGCCTAAGTGTCCATCAATGGACCAATGGATCAAGGAGATGTGGTTTATCTATACAATGGAATACGACATGGCAATGAGAAAGAATGAAATCTGACCATGTGTAGCAACATGGATGGAACTTGAGGGTGTTATGCTGAGCGAAATAAGTCAGGCAGAGAAGGAGAGATACCATATGTTTGCACATATAGGAGGATTAGGAGGAACTTAACAGATTATCGTGGGGGAGAAGAAGGGTGAAAACAGCTGGGGAGAGAGAGAGAGGCAAACCATGAGAGGCTCTTGAATGCTGAGAAAAAGCTGAGGACTGATGGGGGTGGGGAAAGGGGAAGGGGGGGTGATAGGCATGGAGGAGGGCACTTGTGGGGATGAGCACTGGGTGTTATACAGAAACCAACTTGACAATAAATTATTTTTTTAAAAAAAAAAGTTGGCTATCAGTCTAATTGCTGTTCCTGTGATGATCATCTAACTGCCTTGAAAATATTTTCTTTTTAAATTATAATGCCAATACAATTTACCTGGGTATGGATTTCTTTTTGTTTATCCAGTGAGAATACATTGAGATTCTTACATCCCTGGGTTAATATCTTTCATTAATCCTGGAAAGTTCTCAATAATTACCTCTTCAAATATTGTTTCTGTTCCATTTTTTTATCTTCTTTTAGAATTCTAATTAAGCAGGTGTTAGAGATTTTTATCTCTCTTATTATTTCTATCACTTTGACTCTCGGAGATTCATTCTAAATAATTTCTACAGATCTATTTTTCAGTGCTCTTTTTGATACTCTGGAAATAGAAAGAAGTTCTAATTAAATCTGAGGGCAATGGTAAGGCTTAGCTTCATGCATCTATCTTATTTGCATCTCCCCATTAGCTGAGTCTACAACTTAAGCCAAGATCCATGCTCCGATGCACATTTCATACTCTGAATCTGATGAATCTTCCAAGAGTTAACAATCCTTTACTATCTTTTCTTGTAATTTGCTTCTGGGTCTGAATTCACTTCATCATTGAGGTTTGATAACACTGGCAAATTTCATCTACAGATTACTTATGATTATGCAAATGGAGCAAATCTATCCAGATAGAGGGATTGAAATATTATTCAGAATTCCATGAGGACTTTTTCAGTTCTGTCTTCCGAATAGATGGTGGTAGGGAGGGATAGGGACGAGATATGCACCAGACGATTATCAGTGTAGTAGTCGAACTGTACAAATCCTCTCCCTTAGTGAGAGGCCAAGGATAGATGCCTGACTGGTAAAGTTCTCCAGATCCAGGGCTGAAGAAAGCTGTCTCCTATCTGTGACGAACAATGACAAAATCAGGGGAATGAAGAGTTAAAATTCTCATAAAATGCTAGAGTTTAGTAAGTCAAAAAGAAGAAGTCAAAGGAAGGGAGCAAAGGTAGGCTTTAAAAACTAGGGTACAGAACCCCAAACCTGGAATCCTGGGAGCTATAAACAAGACTCAAAAGTACACAAAAGTTGACCAGAATAGGTATTGTGCCATGGAAGGTGGGCTGTATATGCCTGTGTCTATTTGGAGAGAGGTGGTGGGAATCCAGCCAAGGTTCAAGTGCATAACTTGATACATTGTTTCCACTTGAAAAATAATATAACTGATGAAAACTGCATAGCATTTCTATGCCACAGTATCTGAGGTAGTTTACAGTGTATTAAAATGTAATAATTTATGTAATTGATATTATAGTTACATTGTGTTTGATTTTACTTGAACTTCTACAGGAAAAAGTCACAAAAATCAGTCATCAGTGGCACATAAGAATGAAAGCCATGAACCTCACCCAGAGACAGTTCAAACAGTAACTCCTGTAGAGGTTCATGTAGGCACGTGGTTTACAACCACACCTGAAGGAAATCGGATTGGCACCAGAGGACTGGAAAGAATAGCAGACTTGACCCCATTACTATCCTTTAAGGCCACAGATCCTGTCGTTGGAACGGTATGGCAAACTATTGTCTATTGCACATTTTTATAAATCAATAGAGTTCTGCAACACATAGAAGAGTGCCTGGCAGATAATTGATTTTCTGTAACTGGTAAATAAGTGGATAGATGAACAGATAGATCTATCTTCCCAAACAGAAAAATACTGTGTGGTTTATTTGACTAGCATAATGTACCACGAAATACTACTTTTCGAAATGAGGAACAGGTCGTGAATATCTGTACCACATGTAAGATTTGTAAGATTGTGTCATGTTTCTCTATGTTGAATGTATTTGTGTGTCTCGTATCTTCTAGAAGTTGAGGAGCTATGCTTGGTTCCTCCTCCTTTGGGTGCAACTGCAATGAGTGGTAGAAATTTGTTCATGATCCTTGACTTCGAAAAATGTATAGTATATTTAAGGAGACACTCACATTGAATAATTCAAGAATTTAGCAACTATACAAAAGATTTTGTTTGTAGCCTGAGAATAAATGACAAATGAGTGGTATAGAAAATGCTGGTTTGGCTTGTGATGTGAAATCAAAACTCCTGGGATGAACAGTAGCACCTTTTGTGTTCCAGGCTTTCTGTTAGGGATTTTGGGATTTGTGGACATTATCTTATTCAGTCTCTGCACCAGTGAGTATTCTATTACACTGATGAGGAAATTGGGCTTCCACAAGTTAAGTAATGTGGTCAAGAGTGTTTCCAGGAAGCGGTGGACTCTAATTAGAAGCATTTGTCAGTGACTGAAAATTGGGCTCTTTCCATCCCTCAGCTGGACCCCTAACATCTCACATTGGCTTTGCAGCACCCTCTGCATGTAAACAATGCAAAGAATAGGTGCCTTGTATCTGGTTTCTGGACTTTTTACCCTTAGTTATAGCCTCGTGCTGCTGGTCCAAAGCAAAATGACTGCTTGTTATTGAGATGAATTACATTACCGAAGCAAACACGTTTTCCTTTCTTCTTTAGTCTGCTTCTGAAATAGTTTTGTAATCTCTTCCCTTGTCTGCTAGCTGTCTTCTTTTGTGAGACTCAAAGCACATATCATCTCAGGAAGGTTTAATGGGCACTTCAAATAACTCACTTTCATTCAGCCCCTGAGGTAGATCATTTGGCTTACTATGCAAATGTGATTACTATTTCTCACTTCATAAGTGTTTCTTACTTAAATTTCTCTTATTACTATCTATCATCATGATGGAAGCATGAACCAACATCCAAGGGCCTCGATTCATGCATGCATTGAACATCAGACACCTAACAGAATAATAAAAACAGCAGTAATCATAATCTTTACTGAGCACTCGCTGTTTGCCAAGCCCTATTCTTATTTTATTCTCACAGTAAACTAGTGCTGTCTCCCTTTTACAGGTGAGGCAGATACAGAAAGGTTAAATAATTTTCCCCAAAGCACACAGCAAATAGTAGAGTGAGAAATTACATTCCAGACCCCAAGTCCTTAGCCACCAGGGAAAGAAGGGCCAAGAAATCGCATGGCCATGTGAGACAAAATTGACAATGGATGTGTTTCTTTCATGATGCTTGACACGATTATCACTGAATTAGAGACGTGGGCACTGACCTATGGTAACGTAGAGCTGGGTTTGAACCCCAGCTGCACACTCCTTACTGGGGGGTCTGACTTTGGACAAGCTTCTAATCTGGTTTTCCTTATTTACAAGATGGAGGTAATCGTCATTATCTGAAGTAGTTGAGGGGATTAGTGCCAGATCCAACACTATCAGGTGTTCAGTAAATATTCTTGCTACTGGATGCTTAGCCCTATGGAGAATAATAATTGTCCCACCATATGGTTACCAGAAAATGTCAGTGTATGTGGTGTTATGAAATGCTTGGATAATTCTAAATAATATGTAAATATCTATACTGGATAAAGAGCTAGTATTAATCCTTGCTACTTTGATGACTAAGTGCTAATCACTTTATCAACATTATCTCATTTAACCCACGTACCATCCCTGTAGAAGAAACTAGTGTTGCCTTCATTTTGCAGATGAGGAAACTAGAGCACAGAGAAGTTAAGCCACTTGCCTAAGTCACCCAGCCATCCATGAAGTCAGGATTTGAACTCGAGCAGCTTTACTCCAGAGTTCACGCTCTTGACCCCTGTGTTCTTCAGCAGTATTTCTCATTACATATACCGGTGGAGAGTTCCAATGATAAGCACCTAAAATGAACAGTGTGCATTTCTTTCTCACATGTAGTGATTTCTGCCTGCTGTAAAGAGATTAGAAGACAATAATCTCCTGCTTCCTACAGCCCCTGACATTTGAGTCAAAAAGCAACTAATAAACCCATTCTCACATCCATCTGGACTCTTCAGTGAAATATTGTGGCCCATACAATTGGGACAGTACAAGTTACAAAATACTCAATGATTGAGATATGTTTTATATAATTTGCAGTATGATTATTGCCAATTGGACAGCATCTGTGCAAGGAAGGGCAGAGGGAGAAGCAGAGCTGTGGCAGAGACCCGACGAAGCCTCAGTGAACTGGCAGGTGCTCAGGAACCAGTGTCCCCTGCCCCAGTGTCCCAAGCCTGGCAGCAGGAACCAGATCGGCATACTCCTGCCTATTTCAGACACAGCAAGCAGTTACCCTGGAAACATGCAAGTCAGGCAAAGCATCTCTGCAACTGAGGCAGATGTGGAAAGAGCTGAGAGCTCGAGACATTTGCTGAGGGGCCCCTAACCCCACAGCTGGGGAGCCAGTCTATCCTAAAGAGAGATCCAGACCATGCATCTCCATGTCTGCCTCAGCCACACACACACACACACACACACACACACACACACACACACACACACACACACCCCTGAGGGTTTAGAGCCTCACTGGCCAACCAGTTAGCTACTGTATATAAGGGCTTGGTGGTTCTTTCAGACTGAAGCACTTGCCAGGACTAAGTAAATTTATTCTGTGACCCCTACACATTAGTCCTGCTTTGCCCCTCACTGGGATAAAGGTTGAAGCCCTTAATACAGTTTAAAGCCCCCTCTGATGTGGTCCCTCACCATGTAGCCTTATCTCCCACCCTTCTCCTCACTGCACCCTGGTGTCCTTTCATCCCCCATGCTATTCCCTTGCACCAACTCACAAAATCCAAGCTCTGGCACCAGACCGCATCAGAACCCTCCCTACAGACACCAGCTGATCCCTCCAAGCGTTCCTTCAGCAGCCTCCTTAATGACTATCTTCCCTCTGGTCTGTACCTCCTGAAGGATGGGGACTTAAACTTTAGTCTCGTCCGCTGTTGTATGTCCAGCATCCATCACAGTTCACAGCACGTGGCCAGTACTCTGCATTGGGACAGACCTGGGACATAGCAGGCTGCAGAGTGACAACACTGAGGCTCCCTGAATTGGGCGAGCGCAGCCATTTTTCTTCCCAGACCTTCTATCCATCTTCCACAGTAATGCTCTCCACCACGATGGGAGAGATTACAGGTTAAAACTGGCTATCAAACTAGCAGAACATCTCGGCTTTACTCTGCACCTGCATTTGCTCAGCCTAGGGAAGGATACAAGGCAGGAAATGCAGCATGGTCAGTGCAGCATCCTCATCCAACCAGCAGGCCCAGCAACAACCCACAGACACAGCCTCCTCTACCCTTCCAGCCCACAAGGGGCATGCATGGCGGCCACAGACGCAAGCAGACATGATCGGCTTGACACAAGAAGCCACAGCCTCCGTTCCCCACCAGTCTTCACCTTCTGTTCTGATGGCATTAGGTTGAGACTGGCAGAGAATGCTGGACAGCCTCTGCAGGTCATGCTTACTCTAAACCTGTAATTTTCTTTTTTTATTTTATTTTATTTTATTTTATTTTATTTTATTTTATTTTATTTTTTTTACAAATAGTTTATTGTCAAATTAGTTTCTACATAACACTCAGTGCTCATCCCCAAAGTGCCCTCCTCCATGCCCATCATCCATCATCCCCCCCACATCCATCAGTCCTCAGTTTTTGTCAGCATTCAAGAGTCTCTCATGGTTTGCCTCTCTCCCTTTCCCCCACCATTTCCGCCCTTCTTCTCCCCCTTGTTCCTCCGTCAAGTTCCTCCTAATCCTCCTATACGTGCAAACATATGATATTTGTCCTTCTCTGCCTGACTTATTTCGCTCAGCATAACCCCCTCAAGGTCCATCCATGTTGCTACACATGGCCAGATTTCATTGTTTCTCATTGCCATGTAGTATTCCATGGTATAGATAAACCACATCTTCTTGATCCATTCATCTGTTGATGGACACTTAGGCTCCTTCCATGTTTTAGCTATTGTGGAGAGTGCTGCTATGAACATTGGGGTACATGTGCTCCTATGCCTCAGCATTTCTGTATCACCACCTCACGCCAGTCAGAGTGGCTAAAATGAGCAAATCAGAGAACTCTAGATGCTGGCGAGGATGTGGAGAAACGGGCACCCTCCTACACTGTTGGTGGGAATGTAAACTGGTACAGCCCCTCTGGAAAACAGTGTGGAGGTTCCTCAGGAAACTAACAATAGAACTCCCTTATGACCCAGCAATAGCACTGCTAGGAATTTACCCAAGGGATAAACCTGTAATTTTCAAGGAGGCAGGACCTGCGGTCAGGTTCCCAGACAGAATTTGGCCAGGCCAGTCCTAATATTAACTTTTCATTCAGAAATACAAGGGAAAGAGCATCAATGTTCAAGCCAAACAGCCTTAGTCAACACCAGCCCAGATATTTGCTGAGTGACCTTGAGCAAATTTCTTAACTTCTCTAAGCCTAAGTTCCATCATCTGAAAAATGGGGATAGCACTGCCTGCCTCCTAGGAATTGTTGTAAAGCTTTGTCCAAGTGGATGAGGTAAGGCTTTAGCATATAAATAGATAACCAGGATTTTGATGGTATTCAATTAGGTATCAAATAAACATACTTGGGATTAACCCTCCTGACCAAATGACCATGCTCTGCCTTTGCATGTTCAGGTTATGACAACTCGAGAAGACAGAGTGATCATTGTGGAAAGGAAAGATGGTACTCGGATAGTGGATCATGCTGATGGGACCAGAATCACAACCTTCTATCAAGTTTATGAAGATCATATTACTCCTCCAGATGATCAAGAAATAAGTAAGTTTTCTTTGGCTTTTGCTTTTTTATTTTGAGAGAGAACGAGAGACAGAGAGAGGATGAGTAGGGCAGAGGGGCGGAGGGAGAGGGAGAGAGAATCTTAAGCAGGCTCCATGCTCAGCACAGAGTCCAACTCAGGGATCAGTCCCGTGACCTTGGGATCATGAGCTGAGCTGAAATCAAGAGTCAGGCGCTCAGCCAACTGAGTCACCCAGGCACCCCAAATATTTTATGCCTTTAGAATCAGATCAGGAGAAACTTCAATGCTTTTTTTAACATACACAAGAAAAATAATTTTTTGAAGAGCTCTGTCAACCAAAGAGTATGTGTACAGTCAAGAGCAGAGCCTCTTAGACCCTGTTGTTACAATCTTTATCCCCAACAGACGTGGGAGTGATAAAAGCTCTAGCTGGTTGATAGATAGTAATAGTACCTTTTTCTATTTTCGCTGCTAAAACCTAGATTGGTCTTGATTGATGGCAACTAAAAGAAAATAATCATGACTCAATGGCCCTGGACATCAGCTCTCACACCAGTTTCCACTGATTCTTAAGGAATCTTATCTGCATATAGGTGACCTCAATGAGGTCCCCCTTCACTTCTGAACAAACCTCTTATTGTCAGAGAGATGGTGTGAGAGAAAAACGACCTACAGATGCAAATTAACTGGAACCTGTTCAGAGACTCTAAAAGCCTAACGTCCTTCCTAACCTACATTTAAATAAGAGTTTTTTTAAAAAAAAAAAATTAAGGTTTATTTATTTTTGAGAGAGAGAGACAGAGTGCAAGTGGGGGAGGGGCAGAGAGAGAGAGAGAGGGAGACACAGAATCTCCGAGCTGTTAGCACAGAGCCTGATGTGGGGCTCGAACTCATGAACTGCAAGATCATAACCTGAGCTAAAGTTGGACGCTCAACCGACTGAGCCACCCAGGTGCCCCTGAAACAAGATTTTTAAAGACAAATAATTCTCTGACTCCCTTTTCTTCAATTCCAGAGTTTATTTGTTTAATGCAATAAATGCTTCATTGCCAAATTAAGTGCAACAAAATTGGCAAGTGAATGGGGAAAAAAACACCCTTCCTACCCCACTGGTTAGAGGGAACATTAAAGGAGCCACCAGAGAGGGTGATTTACAAATACCTATAATCTTCTAATGTGCCTGTGATATGATGCACTATCTCCACTTCTGGGTATATGTAGAAAGACACTCTTTCTCTTATACATTCTTACACATTTGTCCAAGGAAATGTGTTCAGGGCATGACTTGCAACTCCAAGTCTAATGTCAAAATACTGGGAAATAGATGATCAGCAGCAGCAGAAAACTAAAAGGCAGTACCTAATTACAAAGGAATACTATGTAGTAGTTAAAAGGAATGAAGTACACATACACATATATTCCCACACACCTGTATATCAAGAGGCTGAAGGTCTCAATGCAATATTAAGTAGAAAAATTTGGTGAAGACTGATATATACAATAATATATAATCTATGCATAGTTAGAGCCCACAAAAGATTATGGACTATGTTTGATACACATATTTATAGAAAAGATAAAAGTAGATTTCAAGAGAAGGGAATAAACGCAGAGACAAGGAGAAAAGTGAACTTCAACTCACCTGTAATGTTTTGCTTGTATACATATGAAAAATGTTGAAACAAATACGGTGAAACATTACCAAGTGTACATTTTGATCGGTGAGTATATGAATAATTATATTTTCTGCTCCTCCGGGTGTTTTCAGTTTCTCAAAATAAATATAGCAATGAGAACAAAATAGCACACTAAATCAAGTAGGGAGGATTATTCCGGAAGAATGACTCTGCGTTGGCAGTGAGCAGACCACATGCCAGCCCTGTGGCATGAGTCCTCAGCACCTGTCTCCACCTCTGGTCTGGGGGCCGGGAGACAGGAACAAACTCAGCAGGCGGGCGTGTTCCCAGAGTGTGCATCCTGTCATATCCACTTACCTTGCATTTGCCCACAGCCGAAAGTCCGCGTACGGTCACCAGGCAGGTGAAGTGCATGCGGATAGAAAACGCACACTATGCCACTATCATCACCAACTGCGAGGACAGTAGCTGCTGTGCCACCTTTGCAGACGGGACGTCTGTTATTGCAAAGCCACAGGGAACATACCAGGTGGGTCTGTGGGCAAATGAGGGGCGCCAGAGACAAGTGTCCATTCAACTGAGAAAACTCACTCCTCTGGGGCGGTGAACATTGCTGCCTTGTATGACTCTTGTTCCTCTTGTCTCAGGTTCTTAGAACATATTTCTCAATCTCTCTTTACTTATTCGCCTTCTTTTTACCATTCATTGCAGCGGGCGGGGGGGGGGGGGCGGGGAAACACATCCTGGTTTCTTACAATGCTTTGGCGTTTTCAATTCAAGATTTTAAACCAGAATATATTTGCAGGGCATCTTTTATGTGGTAGGTGGCAGGCACTGTTAGAAGCGCTCATGTGATCTCTCATGTGCCTCCCCACCCGGCTTCACCTCCTGCCACCTCTGACCTCATTCATATTCTCCAGTCCTTCCCATCTCCAGTCCATCCCCACTCTACCTAATGTCCCGACAGGATGAGAGGGAGCATAAGGTCTGTATGGTCCTAGGAGGGTAGTTTGCAAAGCTTCGTTTTTGAAGGGTCAAGGAGGAACACTGTTAGCATCTCCTGTGCTTCCCTACATCTCCCTATTGATCACAACCACCTGGTGTCAGCCTGCAGTCCCTTTAGCCTTAGAGGGATTTGCCTTCACCATTCTGCTTGCTGGAGAAGAGACACACGTGCCAGGATGTCAGATACAATGTCACAGGATTCTGAGAGCTCAAAGAGCTCTGAAGATGATGGACAAAGTCCTCATCTGTTACTGTGGAAGCTGCTGATGGCCGGTTCATCCCCACCCCCTTCTCTCCAAACAGTGTTATCCTACTCCCTCTTCTTCCAGTGTACGTGGTTATGGGGCAAGGCAGGTGCTGAAAGTGAGACATGAGTGTAAAATGTTACAGTTGGCTAAGGGGCGCAATTTTCTTCTACAACATCCAGAATGTCCATTTTATTTTTCAGCAGACTGGCAGCATCCATAATCTAGTACCATGTGGGCTACCAGACGTCATAAGAATCCCCTAAAATTCTGTGATAAGGCCAGCTTTTGCCTTTTGTTTTTATCATAGTCCCAGACTCTCATGGTTACAACCATGAAGGCAAAGGAATTTTAGAACCACTGACAGTTGGCACTGGAGGAAGAGACATAAACAGAAAAGAGATCCAACTTGGAGACATTGAGTATCTGCCACTATCATGTAGCCACTTGTCCCTTCCAGGTTTGCTCAATTTCCCAAAACACAGCCCAAGAAAGGATTGGAAGGTTAATCACTCCTGGCTGAAAAACACACAGACCTTCGTTCCCAACTGGGGAAACAGCAACAACAACAACAACAATACTCCAAATAAATTTACCAACAACTATTATAGTTCTATAGTTGTATAAAACTGAAAAACGGCATACCTTCTGCCCCTCCCCTACTTGTTGGTCATCACTTCATCACTCACCAGCATGATGACAATGATAAGCGAGGCTGGATTTTAGGTAATGTATGAAAAGAGAGGTAGAGCCTTGGTATTGTCCACCATTGTTCCTTAGCAGCACAAAAGATTAACCAAAGCATCAAAGAGGAAGCAGGTATAACAGATGGTATAGTCAGTGTGAGACACTTCCAGAATGATGGAGTAAGGACCTCTAAAAATTACACTACTCCATAAAAACGAGAAAACTGAAAATATTATCAAAACCAACTTTTCCAGAAACCTGAAAATTAACCAAAGGATTACAACAATCATAACAAAGAAAGAGAAAGACTCATTCTCAAGAAGTACAGCAAGATTCCTGGTGATTTCACTTGCCATAATGCGCTCCCCTCTCCTAGCATCATGGTAGCCTTGAAAATGAACACCCTCACATTCATGATAGCAATGAAAACCAGTATGCCAGCAAACACTGAAAAAGGAAGAATAGGTTTAGAGCCCCCCAAAAGTCCCACCACAAAATATTGTCATTGTTGACCTGTCTGGCAGTTCCCTGGAAACTCCATTTGCAAGTGTTGTCTCTATTTCATCTGACTCTGAGCTTACTCACTACAAACAGACTTTTCCCCAACAGGTAATTATTTAACATTATAGCCGTCTAAAGTGGCAATAACAAACAAGAGGATAAACAAAAAGAATTAAAAGCAACAGCTGGGGAACAGAAGTCCATAGAAGGCCTCGAAAAGCTCTGACATATTCCTTGGAATCATCCTCTACTGAGGGCTCTGTTTGTATAATGGGATATTTTTTTTTCAGTGTTCCAGATGGAAGCTAGAGAAAACTCACTCTACTTAGCCTGCACTCCCTGCTTATGCAGACCCTTTTGATCAGCAAGGGTGAAAGATTAGGGCTTTCTGAGTTATTTTCTGGGCATGCACATAGTCCTCTACATGAATGTCACTTTCTAGATTCCAAAGAATTTGTGTTTATAACATATAAAGGTGTAATTTTTTTAAGATAGTAACACGAAGGAGGAGGATAGGAATAGAGCTATATACGAGCAAAGATTTTACATAATATTGAAATTAAGTTAGTATTAACTCAATATGGTTGATTATAAATTAAGACATTGCTTGTGATCTTCAAGAAACTCTAAGAAAATAACTAAAAAATATATAGTAAAAGAAACAACAGGGTAACTAAAAGGACACACTAGAAATATCTATTTAAAAGAAGGCAATTATGGATGAATTGAGAGGAAAAAGAAGCATAAGACATATGGAAAGCAATAGAAAATTGGAAGATGTAATTCTTTTTTTTTTTAATATTTTTATTTATTTCTAGAAGAGAGAGAGAAACAGCGTGAGCAGGGGAGGTTTAGAGAGAGAGGGAGTCACAGACTGAAACAGGCTCCAGGCTCTGAGCTGGCAGTCAGCACAGAGCCCGACGCGGGGCTTGAACCCACGAACCGCGAGATCATGACCCAAGCGAAAGTCGGACGCTTAACTGACTAAGCCACCCAGGCGCCCCTGGAAGATGTAATTCTGACCTCAGTTATTGCATTAAATATGCATGGATTAAACAATGCAATAAAAGAGCAGATATTGGAAGAATGGATTAAAAAACATGGCCCAAATATATGCTGTGGACAAGAGATACACTTATATGGTCAAAGACACAAATAGGTTGAAGGGAAAAGGCTGAAAATAGATAGACCTGCATTAAGTAATTGAAAGAGAACTAGAATGCCTATCCTAATTCAGACAAATGGACTTTGTTACAAAATATTACCAGAGACAAAGATGTTATGTTCTAATGATAAAAGGATTACTCCATCAAAAAACGTAACAATTATAAACATATTAAGCACATAATAATACAGTCCCTAAACACATGAGTATTTCCAGAGTTGTATATGATACAATTTTAAATGTCTAATTTTATTTTTTTTAAATTTTTAACGTTTTTACTTATTTTTGAGAGAGAGAGAGAGAGTGTGAGCAGGGGAGGGTCAGAGAGAGAGGGAGACACAGGATCTGAAACAGGCTCCAGGCTCCGAGCTAGCTGTCAGCACAGAGCCCGATGCGGGGCTCGAACCCACGAACCGTGAGATCATGACCTGAGTGAAGTCGGACGCTTAACCAACTGAGCCACACAGGTGCCCCTTAAGTGTCTAATTTTAAATAGTAAAAAACTGGCATAGTTAAAAGAAGAAATAGACAATTCAATGATAATATTTGGAAGCTTTAGTAGCCCATTTTCAGTAATGGATAGAACAATAAACAACAAAAGTGAAAATAAAAGAAAACAAAAGACTTAAACCCAGAATAACCAGACATCTATAGAACACTCTACTCAACAACAAAATACATTATTCTCAAGTGTACATGGAATATTCTCCAGGAAAGACTATGTGTTACACCACAAAACAAGTTTCAGTAGATTTAGAAGATTCAAAATCATACAAAATATGTTCTACCACCACCATGGAATTAAATTAAAAATCAGCAACAGAAGTTTGGGAAATCCATAAATATGTGAAACTTAACACAGAGAAGAAATCACATACGTGCATGTGCACATACACACACACACGCACACATACACACACCATTAGAACTAATAAAAAAAAGGTTCAGCAAGGCTGCAAGATATAAGATCAAGATAAGAAACTCAATTGTATTTTTCTACATTAACAATGAACAATCCAAAATTGAAATTTATAAAACAATTCCATTTAATGTAGCAGTGAAATAAGTCAATAAGAGAAAGACAAATACCATCTGATTTCGCTCATATGTGAAATTTAGGAAACAAAACTGATGAACATAGCGGGGAAAATAAAGAGAGACAAGACAAGAAATAGACTGTTAACTATAGAGAACAAACTGATGCTTACCAGAGGGAAGGGGATGGGGGATGAGTGAAAGAGGTGATGAGGATTTAAAAAGAGGAATAAAACACTTAGAAGTAAATTTAATAAGAGAAATATAAGTCTTAAACACTGAAAACTACAAAAAATGGACTAGAACTAAGTATTTATTTATTATCAACCTGGGGTCCATAAATTTTTTAAAAGCATGCCAAGATAATTCAGTGGGGGGAAGAATAGTCTTTCAACAAATGGTGAATAAAGTTGGACTACTCACCCTACACACAGAAATGAACTCAAAAAGCATGAAAGACTTAACTGTCAACCCTCAAACTTAGACCTTTTAGAAGAAGACATTGGGAAAATCTTCATATCCTTGAATTTGGCAAGGGCATCTTAGATATGACACCCAAAGCCCAAGCTTTGTCAAAAAGACAAAAATGTGATTTAAAGGACACCACCCAGAAAGTGAGAAGAAAATCTACGTAATGGAAGATATTATTTGTAAAGCATATATCTGATAATTGACTAGTATCCAGAATACATAAAGAACTACTGCAACTCAACAATGAATACTAATAACCCAATGTTTTAGATGGGCAAGGATTTGTTTTTTTTGTTTTTTTTTTTAATGTTTTTTTTTAAATTTATTTCTAGGAGAGATAGGGAGAGACAGCGTGAGCAGGGAGGGTCAGAGAGAGAGGGAGTCACAGACTGAAACAGGCTCCAGGCTCTGAGCCGGCAGTCAGCACAGAGCCCAACGCGGGGCCCGAACCCACGAACCGCGAGATCATGACCTAAGCGAAAGTCGGACGCTTAACAGACTAAGCCACCCAGGCGCCCCTAAATGGGCAAGGATTTGAATAGACTTTTCCCCAAGCAAGATATATACATGACAAATAAGCACATGAAAAGATGCTCAACATCATTAGTCTTCAGGGAAGGGCAAAAATTAAATTATGAAATACCACTTCCCACCCACCAAAATGACTAGAATACAAAAGACAGACAATAATAAGTGTTAGGGAGGATATAGAGAAATTGGAACCCTCATACATTGCTGGTAGGAATGCATAATGGTGCAATCACTTCGGAAAACAGATGGGCAGTTCTCAAAAAGTTAAAAATAGAGTTATTAGCTGACTCAGCAATTCTACTCCTATGTAGGTATCCAAAGGAAATTAAAATGTAGGTCCACTCAAAAATATGTATACAGATGTTGATAGCATTGTTAATAATAGTAAGATTGTGAAAATAACGCATATGCCCATCAACTCATAAATAAACAAAATTTGACACATCTGTACAATGAAATATTATTCATCCATAAAAAAAGAATGAAGATTGATACACATGGATGAGTCTTGAAATTATGCTAAGTGAAAGATGGCTGACACGAAATGTGCCCTATTGCATGTTTCCATTTGTATGAAATGTCTCGAATATTCAAATCCATAGAGAGAGCAGACCATTGGTTGCCAGGAGCTAGGGGCAGGAGTGGTGCAGAGGAACTGCTCATGGTGTCAGGGTTTCTTTTTTGGGGTGATGGAAATGCTCTGAAATTAGTGATAATGTTTGCACACCTTTTTTAATATAGTAAGATCCACTGAATGTCCATGGAATGTCCATTGAATGTACAATTTATGGTATGTGAATTACATCTTAAAAATGAGTCTATCTGAACCAGATGTCTTTATATGAAAGCTAATACTTAAGGACTATGTCAGCCACCAGAGGAATGGGGACAAATAGAAGCTCCTAAAAGCATTTGTCCCATAGCTTCTCAAAGAGTTACTTCTTGTCCAAGAACATGAAGGATTCCAGACACTTTGAGTAGAGGCAAGAGTGTTTACTTCAGTTAAAAATATTTTTATCATTCTATTAAATACCTGAAATAAGAAGGCACAAAAAGAGATATTAAAGTGGGAAGACAAATTCTGGGGACACAGAAGAAATTATATCCTAATTATTCAATTTGCCTCTTTATCAGGGAGTCCTTTCCAAAGCTGAAGTCCTCTCTTGGGCAATGTATTTCTCCTGGAAAGAAGAGTTTATGATCTGTAGATAATTTTTTCCCTAAAATGATTTTTCAAATCCTTCAAATTTAACAAGGCACTTTAAATAATTTCTCTTTTTCTGTTGCTGTTCTAGGTGTTACCTCCAAACACAGGCTGCCTTCACATTGATCGGGATTGTTCAGCTATATATTGCCATGAATCAAGCAGTGATCTATACCATCCTTTCCAAAAACGTGAGCAGCTAAGAGCTAGCAGGTACATCATGAAGCACACGTCAGAGGTTATCTGCGAGGTCCAGGATCCTGAGGGAAATACCTTCCAGGTAAAGTATATTATTAGTATGGAGAGAAAGGCTGGGGCTTTGTTTTTGAGATATTTGAACAGAGAGCTTCCATCCAGCTTTATACCTTAGCTGCCTTGGTGTAGTTATCCACTTACTGCCAATACTTAGCATAAGTAGTAATGAATGTCAATAGCTTTGCTTCTAAAGTGTACTTCCAAGGAGATAGAAAGCCTAACAGTTGGGATGGTATAAATGTTAAACCCAAATAAAGAATTAGAACAGAAGGGAAGAAATACTAAACATTTAAAATAATGCCAACAAGAAAGAAATGATATAAGAATGGTCTGTATCCAGGTTAAAGTGAGAACCAGTTTGTCTGGCTGACTAGGCGGGGAATCTGTGGTAAGGAGTATTAATTAGGAAGGGTTCTAGTAGGGGTGAAAATGGGGAGGTGGACAGGTGCTCAGCTACTAGGTGGTAGAGCTCTATCTTCTGTTTCTCTGTCCTTCCACACCACAGCTATCCTCTTAATATCTTGGCCAGAAACTGGCAAACCATGGCCACTTGTTTATATAGGCCCATGAGATTAAAAAAATGACTTTCATATATTTTTTTTAATGTTTTTTATTTATTTCTGAGAGAGAGAGAGAGAGCATGAGCAGGGGAGGGTCAGAGAGATAGGGAGACACAGGATCTGAAAAAGGCTCCAGGCTCTGAGCTAGCTGTTAGCACAGAGCCCTATGTGGGGCTCGAACCCACTAACCGTGAGATCATGACCTGAGCCAAAGTCGGACGCTTAACTGACTGAGCCACCCAGGTGCTCCAACTTTCATATTTTTAAATAGCTGGAAAAAGTCAAAAGGAGATGAATATATCATGACCTATAAAACTCACAGGAAATTCAAATCTCAGTGTCATTATACAGTTTTACTGGAACACAGCCATGCTCATCTGTTTCCATATTGCCTATGGCTGCCTTTGCCTACAATGGCAGAACTGAGTAGTTGCAACAGATGCTGTATGGCCTACAATTCCTAAAATATTTACTCTCTGGCCCTTGGCAGAAATGTTTTGCCAACCCCTGCTCTAAGCATTTTTCCTTGTTTTCACTCCTCACCCAAGACCGTGTATCAGCTAGTAGGTGGTGAAGTTATTTTTCAGATTTGGAGCCATCACACAGAGACCCCAGCTTTGGTTTGCGATGTAGGCTGGCTCTGATCCAGCCTGTTTGTGTCTGTGCTACCTGAGACTCTTTCCCACATGAGTTCAGGCTGCCGACAAATTTTCATTTGTTGTGAATTGAAGTTGAGTGTTACGGGCCTGAACGCTCTAGGTTTAAACACATGGGACATTGGGGCCAAACATTCTTCCAAGCACCAATGCTCTTCTTGGACATCCCTTTTGGTGATCTTTTAACCTGACCCACACTCCTTCCTGGAGAGACCCACACCAGATCTAAACAGTAGTAATGGCTAGAACATGTCCTCTCCTACTAAATCTGTTTCCCTTTGTAGTCTCTTCCTGAGTCCCAATTCCACACTTACAGAAGTCACACAATATGAACTTCTCCCACACTATCACTTTCTTAATATTTCAAGACAACCATCAAATGGGGAGCCTCTCCTCCATGTTTAAATCCCCGGTTCCATGAACTAATGCTCAGATAAGATTTTGAGTCCCTCGCCATCCTACTCACCTTACTCGGAGTACATTTTCCAGTTTGTCTTCATAGTTTAGGAGTGGTTTGTAAGTAGAGGTGTGCTACTAGGTTTTTACTTTTATTAATGCCAACTGCATATAGTGAGTAATACCTTCGAAATAAATATCCCTGGTTTCCTGGATATGCCAAAGATCACATGCTTTCTCAAATGGAAAATGTGCGCTTTACCGCATTTCTTTTCTTTAGTTGCTTATATACTTTGTCCCTTAGGTTATGGCTGATGGCAGTGTATCAACCCTGCTACGTGAAAACAATTTGGAAGATGAGTCAAATGAAAAAACTGAAGGCTATGATAGCTTATCATCTACTCATCTGTATAAGAATCATCTGCAAATCTATGGTGAACATGTACCCAGGTAATGTAATAAAAATAATACCATGTCTTTTATTTTAAATTCCAAGCTTAAGGAGCATTTTAACTGAAGACTTCACACGATTCAATTTTATTGCTTCAAACAGGTTTTTTGTCATTTATGCTGATGGGTCAGGAGCGGAACTCCTTCGAGACAGTGACATAGAAGAATACCTATCCTTGGCATATGGAGAATCAACCACTGTAGTTCTCCAGGAGCCAATGCAGGAACAGCCAGGTAGGGAATCCAGGATGTCTGGAAGTCATTGTGTCTCCTTACTAGCTCCCGGCCCCCTTATCCAGTCCACCCCATGTCACCTCTGCATTTTTCCTTTTCCTCCCTTTTCAACTCTACTTGCCACATCGCCATGTCAACCTGTTTCTACAGTTATTTATGTTCATTCCAAGCTTTATCTGAGCATCGGCCTATGTAAACTGTGTATGAGCCCCACTTCTACCTGTAAGCAGATTTGAATTGGTGTTGAAGTACGTTAGGTATGTTAAGTACGTTATATCATAGATATAATCTATGATCCTATTTCTGTGTTCCTTTCATCTTGCTAGGGGGAGAAAAAACAAATAAAAGTGAGAGATCACTTGTAAGTTTTTTGGATTTTTTTTGCATTTTGAAGGTGTTGCCTTGATGAACTTAATATAATAAGAAAAGAAAATACGTTTGATGTGTGAGTTAGAAAGCCAACCTGAAATAGTAGTTATATATAATTATATTTACTGTGTATTTGTACTGTGTATTAGTGTGTGGCTAAAGATTGGCTATACATATTGCATTAAGAAACAATCATCAGCGTATGTCATATATGTATTTAAACATAGATATTAACTTTCATATTATTGATGTGTGACATCAAAGTGTTGTGCCTAGGCTGATGTATGTTTATTTTTTATCTTTTCTCTGATTGGTGGTATATACTTTGCACTCATTTATGAATATGCCTACATCTGCACACTTATATTAGTATATCAATGCATGTGTGCATCATAAGCCTTGCTCTTTGTGAATATGGAGAGTGGAGTGCTCTGACTGGCTGTGCAAGAATTCATCACAAATTGCTTTGTTAGTTATTTAACTCACATCTATTTAACCCAGCATGTGCCAAACACACTGGCTGGGTGTTAGGGATACAGTGGTGAGCTAACACAGCCTGGACCATGCTTTCATAGAGCTGAGAGTTTATTGAGAGGATAGGCATTCATTATATAGTCACACAATAACTGTGATTGTGTGATTATAAATTGGGGTAAGGCCTGTGAGGAGAAGGTATATGGTTCTAGGAGAACATCTAATGGAGGAACCTGCTATAGTCTACATGGCTTCCCTGGAGACACTGGAGCCGAGAGCTGGTGGGTAAGTAGCAGTTAATGAAAATAGGAGGCAGAGCTTTCTTGGAAGAGACAGTACAAAGCAGAAACCAAAAGACCTTGGAGAACAGGGAGGAAAATACTGAAGTGGCCAATGCAGAGAAAGGGGGCGGGGGGAGAAGTGCAAGTTAGGGCAGGGTGAGAAAACACCGAGGGCTCAGTTTTGTCCTGTGAGCCGTAGGAAGTCAAAGCAGAGTTTAAACCATGGACTAACATAATCAGTCACTCTGACTGCTAGCAGGGGGCGGGGAGGGGGAGGGGTTCATTCACAGAGTAGATCTGGGTAGAAAAGCTGGTTATTGCTAAAGCCCAGAACTGCATCTCTCAGAGGCAGATGAACCGAGGTAGGTCACTGGATAAGCTCAAGTGAACCGACAGGACTTGAATGTGGTTTTTGAAGAATGGTAAGGTGTCAGTTAATAATTCCAGGTGCTCTAAACCCAGTCTCTAGGTGTTACAAGGTTAGATTGTTAGGCTGTAAGGTTCTTAAGCATAACCACTTATCAAAAAGCTCGCTGAATTCAGTGAAAACCTATTGAATTTCTCAGATATATTTGATTGAGAAATGATCCTCTGATAACTCTCTTTGAACCAGGTACCCTGAGCATCACTGTCCTTCGCCCTTTCCATGAAGCATCACCATGGCTAATGAAGAAAGAATCAGATACAATTGTTCCTCCGAATCTCCGGTCAAGGTCATGGGAGAAATTTCCCTCAGTTGAGGTGTGCATTTTTTCTGCTGCAAAGCCACTACACTATTGCATATCTATTTCATCAATGGATTGGAGTCTCTGGTCTTCTCCTATATATTCATGTATTTTCATCCCTACATAAATTGTTAATGGGCTCCAGGAGTTTTATATTTGAAGACTTTTAACATTTGTAGATTGTAGAGAAATATACCCGACTAGCTTTACTTCTTTTAGCCTGTGTTGCAGGTTCAGACATCTTCCTATGGTATGGAAATATCCACTCTAAGTAACACCTGTTATACCTCTCCTATCATGGAATTACTGATCCTATACGATACAGAAATCTTCCCTTGTCTTATTCCTTATTTGTTGGTTTTAACATACAACTTCGAGTCTTTACACTCCCTTTTTTGCCTAATTTACTAATGCACAAACTGAAGCATATAAGAAAGATATGAAGGATTATACCAAAGGATTTGCAACTACAGTGTTAAAAAGCAAACGTTGTGATTATGTCAGGCTAGAGAAGCTGCATCTAAAGTCTTTTTCAAGAATGGAAGAGAAGATCTTAAAATCTTGAGCAAGAATCATGAAGTCCTACGTCTTGCAAGACTTGACACTTCATTTTGCAAGCAATTTGTGTAATGTGCGCAGCACATTGTTAGATGATAAATTATTAGATCAATGAGGACATTGATCATTAGATGAGAGAGACATTCTAGTGTTAGGAGGGGAGGGCAGTGTTTTTTGATTTATGACGACCTTTGTTCCCCTAAACAATCTTGTGATAGCAAGGGCCCAGACAATGAACACTTAAGGTGACAAAGACCTCTTAGTCCTATATTTTAATTGGGTGACTATAACCAACACAATGAATGAAAAGTGTCTGAATTCTAGTCCTGAGTCTACCAATTATTAATGTGGGATATGAGACAAGTCACACTGGACCTCTACTTCCATATGTGAAAAAAGGCCACACCAAATGACTCTCTAAGGCTGTATCCAGGTTGAAAATAGTGCTTCGTGACAAATAACATGCTCCATCTGAGATTAGTGAGAGAAGCTTATTCTCTTTCTCTGCAACTCCTATAGCTCTGGCCTTCTGTGCCCAGTCACAGTGGCCCATCCCAGACAAGCCCCTAAGGGTTACACTGACCAGGCATCAGACCAAATAGCGATTTACAATGGGACACATCAGACACGCTACAGAACATAGGGCATCAAAGCACATTACCCCTGAAACTCAATTACAAGGATAACACAAAGATGTGAGCCTAATCGGAGGCTTCCAAGAGACCCTGGAAAGACTCCAGAGGCATGCTTCATCTAAAGTGAGTTCAAAGACCCCTCAGATCTATGGGATGATTTCTCTCTCAAAGAATCTCTCTAGGTCAAAATGAGCATGAAACCAAGTTAAAGACTGATTATTCCAAATGTTTTGGGCTACTTGTGGGTAGTAAGCAACAGTCATTTATGCATTTTCCATAAGCGAGGCTACATTTCCATGATACAACATTGTTTACTACTCCCCAAATGCTATCCAGTGGGATGTAATACTACAGTATTTTAAAATATCGAGATTCCTGATAATGCATATAAAGAGGAAAGCATGACCAATTCTGTTACCAATTTCCCTTAGATTTAAGAAACATTTTGGGAGCAGGGACCATATATTTTATTTACCACCGTATTCCCTAACAAGTGGTTCTTAGCATCGTGTCTACATAATAAGGACTCAGTTAAAAAAAAAAAAAAAAGTTAAAGCAATCTGATATTTTTGGTGGTTGTTGTTTTGCTTCGTATTGTTAACAGAAAAAGACTCCTGGACCTCCGTTTGGCACTCAGACTTGGAAGGGTCTTGACATTGGGTCCAAACAGCTAGTGAGTGTCCCAGCCCCTATACTCAAGAGCCCCTGTGTTCTACAGATGCGTCAGTTCATCCAGCATGAGCTCATAAAAGATGAGGTGAAACTGAAGCTGCAGATTTCTCTTAAGGTAATGGAATCCAGGTAACCTGACCCAAAGGAATCAGGAACAGAGCAATTATTCCTCCTGGTTTCCAGAGGAATCTGAAATTATGTAACTCTACCAATATTTATCTAATGCAACAAACGAATGTCAATCTTCCAGAGGGTAGGAGGTTGAGAGGTAGAAAATACTTGATGGTTCCCATAAGGTACAGGAAGGGCCTAAGACATTGAGAAGATAAATAACTTTTATGTATGATTGCTATATAGTGTCCTCCTTCTTCCTTATGATATGGGCTTAGTGACCTCTGGGAAAAAGTGGAGCCACTTATTAACCTGATACTCATCCATGGAAGAAAAGGGATTGTTGATTTTGGCTAATGGTCTAAGAATTTGTAAATATATGGTTAATTGTATACGCCGTATCTATAGCATCTCACTGTCTAGTTTGTTAACTGTCTCCAAACAGGATCATATGTGTCTTGTATATGATTATGTATCCAGCACCTGACATAGAGCAGGGAACGATTTATTTATGAAAATAGATATTTACGGAAAAAGTAAAGTATATTTCTCTTGGAAGCCAAGGCATAGACTAAGCCTAAACTTACATTTGTAGACAGAATCATAAAGACTATCCTTGGAAAGGACTCTAGAAACCATCTAACCCAAGTCCATACATTTTATTGTTGAGGACATTGGAGCTCAGAGCTAGAAACTGGGCCTCTGTGGCATCTCCATATAGTTCTAAGGTCTTGTGGCCCTCAAAGCTTTGCTTTTGGACTTTTCAGGTCTTAGACCATTAACATTATCAAGGAAAAGGTTTTCCAGATTGCTCGACCAGTAACTGGTTTGTTGAACCCTGGGAATGTAACATATTCTTACTCTTCCAGTAGTATTTCAAGTTGATGTTCACCATTTTGGTGTCTCTGCCTCATTTCTGATTTTTGTTGATTTACTTGACTTCGCTGATTTAGGATTATATAAACCACATCCTGAAGAAAGAAGATGAGCTGCAGGAAATGACAATTAAAGATTCCAGAACCGAGGAGGAAAGAGGCAACGCTGCAGATCTCCTCAAGCTAGTCATGGTGAGAAGGAAATGTTCTCTGTACCAATGTTTCACTGGTGTTTCAGTATCAGGTGCTTCAGGACAAAATATTACACCTTGTAGCTGTTTCTGCCACTTCCACGGAGCATTTGCTCCTTCCTTAAAATTTCTTATTTCTGGGGAAAATCTCATTCCTCATGGATTAAATCTTCCATAAGCTTCTTAGGCCCTTCCTTAAACCGTATATAATTCTGAAGGCTCTTAAATAAAAGTTTATACTGTCTTCAGAGAAAATGATGTTGATTGAAATGTTGAATGACTTAATGAATGAAATAGGAAGGAGGAGGAAAAAGGAATTTCTACAACTTGAAATGATTTGGAGTTTTAAAAAATCTGTTATGTGAAAGGAATGACTAAAAAACTCAAATACAGTTTGTACTGGCATCAAAAAACTGATTCACTGCATAGTAATTTTCCATGAAGAATGCTGTAAAACAGAGTGAATTTGTATGTAATATAATCATCATCATTAAGGAATTCTATCTTCGTTTCAGTCATTCCCTAAAATGGAAGAAACTACAAAAAGTCATGTAACCGAAGGTAACTATATTTAATATTTTTCTGCAAAATATTTAAAATCTTAAATACACTTCTCAGCCATTCCTTCATCTGATAGCAAAGTATCATGTATATATATATATATATATATGATATATATGTATATATATCATATATATATATACACACATATGTTGTCATATTGGCCATGTTGTATAATTATAATACAATTATAATTTATTTACGTATTTTTTTCAGCCTAAATTGTGAGATCCTTGAAAAATGTGGCTGCCTCTAATTTACCTTTAACTTTCATTTGTTGAATGAAAACAGTCGACATTTGACTTTTATGTCAACCTTAGCTTGTATTTCCAACACAGCTAAGACAGAAGAGGGAAAGAATCAACCAACCAACATTCACTCTCCTGACACACGCGCACACACACACACACACACACACACACACACACACATGCACACACACAGTGAGCAACTACACAGTTATCACCAAAACCTTGTACTATTTTACCCTGTATATATAGCTCAAGTGGTCTACTCTTGGAAAATATGCTCATTCAAAGCCTATTTACTTGGAGAATATATCGCCCCAGCAACGGATGCATTCTGTGTGTCCCCCACAGTGTTGGCTTGCCCAGTTATTTTTCTTTATCTCAATTTTCCATCTCTTGAAATGTGACATTACCACATTGTGACATTTGGCTGAAGAGGATTAACAGCTGCCTCATTAGAATGACCGTGAACAGAAGAATCCATTACAGCCCACAGCAGCCACTCTTTTGTCACTCGTTGACCTGGGCAGCCCATTTTACACCATGGTTGTCAAATTTAGCAAATAAAAATGCAGAAGGTTCAGTTAAATTGGAATTTCAGGTAAATGACAAGTAATCTTTTAGTATAAGTATATTCCATGGCCTGTTTGGGACATACTTATACTAAAAAGTTATTCATTGTTCATCTGGAGTTCAAATTTACCTGGATGCCCTATATTTTATCTGGTAACCATCCATTGTAGCATTTGAATTTGTGATCTCTGGCATGAGAGTACATTCACCATAGAGGTACATGTGCAGGTGGCCTAATAATGAAGGACAAACTAAACATATTTCCAAACACACAAACAAACAGAGGCAGGAGTCAAACAGGGTCCTGCATACTTACAGCTGCAATAGTACTAGTGGTGATTTTATATTTTTTTTTATTTTTAAATTTTTTAACGTTTATTCATTTTTGAGAGAGAGACTGAGAAACAGAGCATGAGTGGGGGAGGGGCAGAAAGAGAGGGAGACACAGAATCCGAAGCAGGCTCCAGGCTCCGAGCAGTCAGCACAGAGCCCTATGTGGGGCTTGAACCCAGAAACCATGAGATCATGACCTGAGCCGAAGTCGGACGCTTAACTGACTGAGCCACCCAGGTGCCCCTGTAGTGGTGATTTTAAGTCAATGCTCCCCAAAGAATTTCCTGAAACACTAGTCTATGAAATGGCTGCACCAAAAATGAATTTAATGAGAAAGTAAGTTTGGATAACACTGCATATTTCCTTATTTCTTTAGAGAGCCACAGTGTACACTAAGTCTTATGGTAACAAAACATATTTAACCTTGTATAAATCAACATTTCCCAAGCTCAGATAGAATGTGGAACTTTTTTTTTAATCTTTGTTAACATCCCACTGAGATCATAATCTGAGGCATAAACTCAGAGTAACTGCCAGAATTATCAAACCATTGTATTATGCTAATATACTTAGATTCAGATCCTTAGATTTTTTTTTTTTTTTTGAAAAACAATTTCAATAAAATGGTTACTGTTTTTTAAATTTTGGTGTTTCAGATACGAAGAAATTCAGTTAGGTAAAACACAAATGATGTGGGACAAATGACATGTCACTAGTCTACCTTTTGACAGTAAGATGTGTGTGCTTTAATAGGATATTTCATAAAAGTGGTCTGGTGTACTGGTATATTACAGTTTGGTCATGAAAATTCTAGTAAACACTTGATAGATGAAATATGAGCTCTTAGAAGACCTCTCCAGTGAGTAATCAGGCACTGATTGTGTGTTGTTGCTGTAAAGATGTGAGGAGACATTTAAACGCATCTGTTTTTAAAGTTGCAGCCCACCTAGCTGATTTATTCAAGCAATCATTGCCTACCTCTCCAGAAGGTCGGCCAGAAACAATGGATACAGATTTCCTTGAAAGGAAATGGAGGTAAGCTGCTCCCTTAATGTGTTCCAATTTGTATTAAGCATACAGTGGTTGGGGAAACAGAGAGATCTGGCATCATAACTCTGGGTGACTACATCAGTGAATTCTCAGCCGATCATCTCCTACACTGCCAACAACTTATCATCTAGTGGAAGTTTTTCTTCTATTGTTTGGAAGCTGAGATCCTTGCCCTTTTTCATCATACTTTCCTTTCACGCAGGCAAACAACAAAAGGAAAGCCCTGGAGAGAAAAGTTGGAAAAAAAGAGGTAATTCCATCTTGCAGTTCAGTATCTATAAGCATGTGACAACACCCCGTTTTGTGGAGTCAAGGGCCTTGAGAGTGGGAGGGGTCGAAAAGTCCTACCACCTGGGCTCTCTGCCACTACCTGAATCTCTTCTATGTTTTTGCCAAGAGGCTACTCAGCTTATGAATGAGGCTGTCACTATCCCCAGAGGAAGCCCATTTGACTCTAATGTAGATGGTCTCCTTTTCATAAGCAAGAAAGTTCTCAGGTATTCTCTGTTCTCTGGCAATTCGAATATACTAGCAAATATTCTAGAACTCAATGCAGAGCCTAGTCGTAAACATCCAAGGATTCTTCTAACTTAGTGAGGAATGCATTCAGAGCATTCTCTGCTTTGCTTTCCTTTCATCCCTAGACGAGGATACCACCCTGTGAGGAAAGGGAGCTACAAACGTTTACTGAGGATATAGTAGTCCACACAGTACTATTGCACACATTTGCATGGCTTCTCTCCAAAAGGACTGGAGGGAGAATGGAGTTTCTTTATAAAAATGTCTGGGTTACCCTGCAGAATGTGTGGGAGAAGTGGTGAACTGAGACCTTGCACCTCATGGGCCACCCCTGGATTCAAGGGCAAACTAGAAGGTATATGTTGTCTCATGGAATATCCCTGAAAGGATTTCTAAGAGACCGGTGCCCACAATTGCCCATGGGGTAGCAGACTGAAAGGTTAGGGGACAGCGTGGGATGGAGACTTTCTTTTCATTACATACTCTTTAATGCTTTTTAAAATCATATGTATGTGTTATCCATTCACACTTTTAAAGTTTTTGAAACATTAACACTTTCAGATTTTAACCTACAGGTAGAGAACGCATGCCAGTGGAAGTTTTTGAAGAAGAAAGTGAAATGCACAGTTAGATTTGGGTCACTGAAAGAGAAGTTTTGGCAGCATGGGAAATGGGTTTATGGGGGTGGGGTTAAGAAATGAGAAAGTCTTGGGGCGGCCGGGTGGCTCAGTCAGTTAAGCCTCTGACTTCGGCTCAGGTCATGATCTCATGGCTGGTGGGTTCAAGCCCTGCGTCAGGCTCTGTGCTGACAGCTAGCTCAGAGCCTGGAGCCTGCTTTGGATTCTGTCTCCCTCTCTCTCTGCCCCTCCCCCACTTGTGCTCTGTCTCTGTCTCTCTCTCTCTCTCTCTCAAAAATAAATAAATGTAAAAAATTTTTTTCTTAAAAAAAAAAAAAAGAAATGAGAAAGTCTCAGGGACCCTGAAGGTGAGTCATAAGGGTTAGGTTCCATGCAAAAATCAGTAAGGAGAATGCAAAGAAGAGTTGGGGGGTCATCAAGGGGAGGACTTTTCTGTGAGAACAGTCCTGAGAGTGACAAGCAGTAGCCCCACTGTCATAGATGGATGATGAACCCAGCGAGGCAGGAGAGATAAGACAATTTAATGGGAAATTAAAGTTGTCTCAGTGAGATGATAGTTTGATTCAGTCAGTATTTCCTGACAGGCCAGCTAACATGAGAGAAGAGGCACTAGTCTTAGAGCCAGCAGACCAAGAATCCATTCCAACTTGGTCACTTACAGATGAGTGAAGCCAGCTGGTTGTCCTTGTGTTTTAGAGAGCCACAGTGTACACTAAGTCCCATCATAACAAAACGTATTTAACCTTGTATAAGTCAGCATTTCCCAATGTACTGATTTCCATTAGTACCATGTACCTCGGGAATTCAGTTTGCTCATCTGTAAAATGAGAACAATTGAGCCACCTAATATCCGAGGTATCTTTCAGCTCACACACTGGGCGACTAATAGCACTTATCAAGGTCAAGGTCATGGACTTGGAAGCAGGCAACCTGGGTTTTAACTCAGACTTTACCTCTTACTAGTTATGCAATTTAAGGTAGGTTATGTAACTTTTCTATACCTTGATTTTTTTTTTTTGACCAAAGGGGCATGATGAATTATTACAAGATTAAATGTGTAAAGCACTTTGTAAAATTTCTGATGTGTAATTAGCACTTAAAAATGAAAGCGATTTCAGCTAAGATTAGGGCCAGCTACACTGAACAGAAAAGCCCAGAAATCAGTGCTTTAACAAGAAAGAAGTTTATCTTCCCTGATGTCAAAGAAGTCAGAGTGGGCAGTCCATGTTAGGCAGCACCACATCATCAGGAATTCAGGTTTCCCCTTTCTATCTGTTCCATCATTCAGAGCACATGACTTCCCTCCTCAAGGCTGCCTCATGGTTGCAAAATTACTGCCACAGCTGCAGCCATTCCATCCACATCTCAGGAAGTGAGAAAAGAGCTGAGGCAAGGACAAAGGAAAAGCCTCTGAGCTGAGTTAGGTCTCTTTAAAGGTTATCCGGCATCTTACCCAGTGACAGTTTACTTCTTATTGGCCTTCGCTATATATAGGAAAGGCTGGGAAGTGAAGTTTTTAGCTGGTCTATCGTCTCCCCACTATAGAGTTCTGATACTGGAAAGATAATTGACAGAATTATCATGATTGCTTTTATTTTACTTTGTCATCACTGATCCCACTATGCATAAACCATTCCTGAGGTTTTGGTTTTAGTTTTTGTTACCCCTGCTATTGAAATCATGGAAATTGGTAGAATCTAGCTGGCATTTAAACCTCAGAGAATTGAAAGACACACAAAAAAGGTCAACCATAGTCTTCTGAGATCAACTGTAAAACCAAACTCCCATCTGGCATCATTATTTCATATCTTAAATGAAAGCCTGGTTTTTGAAGTAAGAAATGTGACTGATTCTACAAAGAGCAGAAAATGAACCAAAACAAGCTGACAAAAAAATTGTCTGATGAGTTCATTCTTACCAGTTTTATTGTTAGTGATCCCATTTTCTGCAGGATTTAAAGGTAAAACGCAAGTGAATAACATTGTAAAATATTCTGTCTTCTTTTGCATCATTATGGAAATACCAACCAGGAAGGAAATTGACAACACAAAAAATTACCTAATGGAAATTAGGAACAAAGTAATATCACCCTACTTCAAATCGGAAGTGAGCAAGTTATGTCAGCCTAAGGTAATTGAATGTAATTAACAACAATGGAGAAAGAATCTTTATAAAAGTTGACACAATGCATATATTATTTTGTACTCAACCTTTCCTGATATTTCATTCCTTCATCAGCCCAACTAACTAACTTTACCTTTCAAATCCATGTCCTCACAAGCATTTGGAGGGAAAACCAATTTCAGGTCTTACTAATTTATTACTACCACTCCACCCACATTCCTTGCATTATCACTATTAATCACCCTCATCCATCATTTCAAGCTCTTTTTGGGGTTGAATTCTCCCTATTTTTATCCTATAAATTTCATGTTGAAGTTTTTATTCCATTAAAATGTCTGCACCCATCAGCTGCGGAAACAGCACTAAATTATTGCGAGTTCCTGGAAACCCAAGGACACAGAGCACTCCTATCAAACCCCGAAACATTTCAGCAAAGTGAATATCTTCATGTGTTTAGAGCTCCTTGTATTTCTATGAATGCTCCAGATGCTATTATTAACTGGAAGCTGCCTGAGAAGAAGTTCTAGGAAGTTAGGACAGATTGACAAAATATAGAATTGAGCTGAACAGTCTCTTGAAAAACTTTTAGTTTCAGAGCCTTAAAAAAAAAAAAAATGCCTGCATCCTTGCTCTTCAACTTAACATGCTTGTGGCAGGTGCTTAAGTCTGAAGTAAGTCTTTTGGATTTCCCTTTCAGTTGAATTACCTGGACACCCTTTCCAAAAACTTGCCTCCTTTTACAAAGGCAGCCGAAGATGCAGACAAAACAGCTGGTGAGGAAACATCCGATCTTCCTCCAGGTAATGGGTTTCTGCAGCTCCTTATCCCTATGAATGTGCTTAAATGAAGAATACCTACCAATGGCCTCTTGGGACGGAACTAGTTCCTACTACCTCTTGTCTCAGTAATGGCTGATGACATAACCTATTGTGACTTGTATACTACAAATCTGACTGAGTTATATGAGGGAACCAAGATATAAATCGAATTTCGTTTTCATCCGGTGTGCTTAAATTTTACCTGAGAACATTTAGAAGATCTGACTGGTTTACAAATCAAGAGACTAATGAAGGGTTCGTGGAGACCAGGGCAGAAACACAGACTGGAGGTATCACTTCACATAATACCCGATAATAAGAAGGAAAGTGTGTCTTTATAGTGGAGAGAGACGGCATTTTCCAGCCCAACCAAGTGGTCAAACTTCTAGCAGTTGTGACAGCATACAGTAAGTGCTTTCTCATAAATACAATATGAAGCATCTAGAACCTATATAGAATTCTGGCCAAATCCTTAACTGAAATTTAACCAAGAGGAAACAATCAGACAAGTCCAAAATGTAGACATTCTATGAGACAAGTGTCCTGGATTCTTCCAAAAAAGTCAGTATCAGTAAAAGAAGAAAGATGGGATGATTGTTCTATATTAAAAGAGACTAAAGAGGTATGTATCTAAACTACCTACAATACATAAACTTTGGAAACGGAGTTGAGGAAAAAATAAACAGCTATAAAAGATCTTTCAGAGCAACTGTACAAGTTTGAGTTGGGGACTATACAGTTGAGGGCACTGTGGAAGTTTTGCAAGTTTTCTTGGGTGTGATGATGGTGTGATGGATGTGTAGAATGAGGTCTCCTTTTCAAGAGATGGATGTTGGGGAATTAAGGGCAGAAATGAAATTTAGTGCTTCGTTTTCATAAACTGGATCATGAAAATACTGAGACAGAGGAATTTTCTACTGCACGGTGCAATACCAGAGGCCCAGTGGCTGAAGAATGAGCCAAAGAAAACATCTGATTACCCCAGAGTTTGCAAAGTGAAGATTAAGGCTGGGAAAAATGACTTGGAAACAAAATGGGGAGAAATCAGAGTTGAAGGCTGATGGTGTTGGTGCCCACCTGTTCCCTAATCAACCCTAATCAATGGAGCCTACTGTCTCCTTCACAGTGGGTGAGACCACAGGTTTCTCAGCACCCTTCCAGGCAGCCACCACCATTCAGCCAGGGTGGCCCACATATAAGCTGAAACTTACTATTTGCATCCCCAGTCCTTGATAGATATATTTTAAATGTATTTCATGTCCCACTGGCTTCTTAGATACATTTTAATAAAGAACTACATTTTCATAGTAATGAGTGGGTTTACTAGAACTACCTTATGGTCCATCAATTGCACTACTAGGTATGTATCCAAGGGCTAAAGGTGTGCTGTTTCAAAGGGACACATGCACCCCAATGTTTATAGCAGTGCTGTCAACAATAGCCAAGGTATGGAAAGAACCCAAACGTCTATCAACAAATGAATGGATACAGAAGATGTGTATATATATGTACACACGCATACATACAATAGAATATTACTCAGCAATCAAAAAGAATGAAATCTTGCCATTTGCAACTGCGTGGATAGAACTAGAGGGTATCATGCTAAGCGAAATTAGTCAGAGAAAGACAAATATCATATGACTTCACTCATATGAAGACTTTAAGATACAAAACATGATCATAAGGGAAGGGAAGCAAAAATAATGTAAAAACAGGGACGGGGACAAAAACATGAGACTCTTGAATATGGAGAACAAACAGAGGGTGACTGGAGAGGTTGTGGGAGGGAGGGATGGGCTACATGGGTGAGGGGCATTAAGGAATCTACTCTTGAAATCATTGTTGCACTATATGCTAATTAATGGGGATGTAAATTAAAAAAAATAAAAACACACACACAAAAATAGTGAATAGATTTAAGATTGGAAACTTTAAAAAAAATTAACCTCACATCTCAGTTACTTTTGCCAGAAAAGTAGGCTAAGTTACTTGGTCTCTGCTTCATAACCCAATCAAGATAACTACTGTATTGTCTTGTGGAACCAACTAGCTACTGGGGGAGCGTTCGTTGCGGATACTGTCCTGTTAATGGCAGCCACTGTTGCATCATATAACGAAGGATCCCTACCTCTTAATAGCTGTCTTCCATTTGGTACTTTCTAAAGGCAGAAGTGTGGGAAGCACCTTGTTCACTGTAAAGAATACAAACATCGGTAGTTCTTATCTCATTGTCCAGAGTATCACTGTATAATATTTGTTTGGGGTGTTTCTAGATTCCCAGCCAAAACAAGTTTCAGAACATGAATCCTCACAAACACCGAGTGTTCCAAAACTGAAGGGTTTTGTGGATGTCATGGAGTCTGCTGGCCAGAACCAAACTGAAAATGTAGCAAAATGTACTGAAGGTATGACAGTTGTTTGGTTTTATCTCGTTCTTTCTCAAAACGGAACGTTATGTCTTTGTGGAGTTGGGAAGATGGCCCTGGGAGCTGAATGTACAGTTGGTGGTTACAGAAAAAATTGCAAAAGGGTCACAGATCCCAGATCTAAAGCACTTTGTAAGGCTTCTTAGCACATCAAAGTATCTCAAAAAATATTTTGAGAATGATTGCAAGTTCCGGATTGAAAGGAAAAAATGGCAAATGTGTTTTTAGATGGTTATAGTATTTTATTTCTTTATTGTATATTATTATTTATTGTAATTAACTTAGTACATTCTATTACTTGATATAATAGAGAGCTTGCAGCTTCCTTTACTAAACGTCAGGAACCTGGTAGCTTTTTTTGAGCCGCCGGTAATTTGGCAGTTGGACTCAGATTTACCCGCCTTTTCAGGACTTTCTTGGTCTGCAGGTGCTGGAAGAGAAACATGAAGTGTAGTCTCCAGTTATGCAGCACATCATCTCATTTGGGTAGCCGAAATTAAAGAATGGCATAATACCAGATAATTGTAATTACAGTGGAATCACACTGATTTCACTGAAGTTAATTCAACTTTAACGGCTGGTCAGGAAAAAAACCAGGAAAACAGAGTAATTAAAACGGTGTAGATGAATTTGCACCCCTCACTCCTGTGGATATGGTCCATATTGAGGGGGGGCACTTGTTGGGATGAGCACTGGGTGTTGTACGTAAGCGAGGAATCATGGGAATCTACCTCCAAAACCAAGGGCGCACTATGTACACTGTATGTTAGCTAAGTTGATAATTATATTAAAAAAAAAAAAAACCCAGAAACTAGGATGGTAACCAGCCAAGAGGTCTTAATTTTACCTCTCACAGGGGGAGCATCCTGCCACCTCTATGAGTGACTTAGGGATTTACCTTACACATGCCTTTTGCCTTCCTGATTTTAAAGCTATCTCTTCTATAAAGTTTATTCATTCAGAGGATAATTTGCTCAGTGCCTACTGTACACCCAGCATTGTTCCAGGCATGGAAATGTAGCAGCTAAAAAGCCTGTGTGTTATAGAGCTGTACATACTATGGGCAGGCCTGGACAATAAACAAATAACCAGGTAAATCAGATAAACTCCGGTTGTCATAGGTGTTATCACACAGTAAAACCGTGATGTATGGAAAATGTCTTGGGGAGAGGGATGGCATTCCATCAGGGGAGTAGGAGCCCCCTCTGTGAAAGGACATCTGAGCGTAGACAGAATGACAGAAAGGAGCCAGCCATGCAAACACGGGGGGAGGGGAAGGCGGCAAGCGTGAAGTATGAAGTGTGAAGACCCTTCGAGGGGAAGAAGCAGGAAAGTCGGCATAAAGCTGGAAGACAAATGGGTAAAGAAAGAAGTAAAGGAAGGTGAGGTCAGAGGGACAGATAGAGATAAGACCACGTGATGGTACATAAGGTGTTTGGGGTTTTAGCCCATGTAGGTTTTTATTCAAACACCACTGGAAGGTTTTGAACAGGGTGGTTACACGACTAATTTGTATTTTATAAAGATTACCCCGGTAGCTGTGCGGAGAATAGCTTGTAGCTGGGTAACGGAGAGTGCGGAAGTGAAGACGGGGAGGAAGCCACTGAGGCAGGACACGTGAGCACTGGCGCAGACCTGGCTAGGGCGGTGGAGTCGGAGGGGGTGGGAAGCACATCAACTGGAACTAAATAAACATCCTGGAGGTAGAGCTGGCGGGCCTCGTGTTGCCTGGGTGTGGAGCTGAGGAGTAAGAGGAGCCGAGGGTGGTTCCCAGGGTGAGTGCTGTGACCAGTTGTGAGGCTGAGAATGTGTAGCTGTAACAAGTTTCAGGTGGTGCTGATGTTGCGGGTGTTGGATCACACGTTGAGAACCATGGCCCTAGGGCAGACTCTAGAATGTAGCAATCAGGCGGAAGAAGGGCCAGAAAAGGCTACTAAGAAGCCAGTGAGGTAGGAGAAAACCAGGAGAACTAGAATCAGTGTTTCCAGTGGGTCAAATGGCCCCGAAAGGCCAAGTGAGATGCAGAATAACCATGGGGCTGGGTGAGCTGGAGATCACTGGTGATCCTGGTGAGAGCGCTCTCAGGGCACGGAGGAGCCTGCGGCCCGCTGAAGCGGGCTGTGTGTAGAACAGCTGAAGGGGAACCAGGAATGCACAGCTTCACCCAAGAGCTCTGCTGAAAATAGAGGAACGCATTGCAGCTGGAGACAGATGTGTGACCAGGGGAGAGATTTAAAAAAATCAGACATACTGGAAGGTGTTGATATGGGAATAATAATTCTGTAACAAGATAGAACTTACAATGCAGAAGAGGGCCTGCTTGCGGGAGAGCAAAGGTCTAAAGAAGGTGAGAGAACATGACGTTTGCAGCAAACCCTGAGTGTCAGAGTTGACCTTGGATGTAAATAGGGCCACTTCGGCCAGTGACAGGAGAAAGGAGAAGGAACACGGGTACATTGGCAGGTGGGTTTACATGTTTGGTTTTAGGCAGATAAGCGAGTGTGATGGCAAAGGAGTGGATATAATGATAAGAGTAGAAAGTCCATTCCAGAGAAACAAGAAAGCAAAACAAGAAGGGGGTGACTGATTATTTTCAGGTGACAATTAATTAGAGGTCTCAGTGAGACCAAATGATTGTTTTTTTTTTACATGTTGATTTTTTTTTGAGCAAGAGAGAGAGAGGAACCAGGGAACAGACCGAGAGAGAGAGGGAGACATGGAATCTGAAGCAGGCTCCTGGCTCTGAGCTGTCAGCACAGAGCCCGACATGGGGCTTGAACCCACAGACTGTGAGATCATGACCTGAGCCAAAGTTGGATGCTTAACCGACTGAGCCACCCAGATGCCCTCAAATGATTGTTTGCTAGACGTGACAGAGTAATGGGCTGGAAGATTCGGAGGTTGTGATCTAGAGAGGAAAGTGGACACAGAGTTGTGAAAGTGGTAAAATTATTGGTGTTGGCAAAGTCGAGATCTGATCATGGGAGTTTGTGGGTGGAGAAGAGGAAAGGAGGATGGGGGTGCGGGAGGGGAGTCATCCAGGTGGTGTCAACAGGTGAAGTGGAAATCCATCCCAGGCGTCCAGACCTCCAGGGAATCAAGGGAATGACTGAGAGGTCTGTAGGTGACAAGTACATCATGGAGACCTCGTGGGTAACAGTCTGATGGCACGAGCTTCAAAGAAACGAGAGATTTTGAAAGAGAAAGCGCCTTTGGAACAAGGACACTTACTGCCCCTGTAGGCACCGAGATACTGAGATGAGGGACAGTAACAGGACTCACCAAAAGCGGTGAATTAAATTTGGATGGAAACAATAAAGTTTAAAGAGGTGCAAAATAGGAAGACAGTGAGGAAAGCTTTATGGGAAAGGTGGCCTTGAGGAATAAATAGAATTTCATAGGTTTTAAGATTTAAGATTGGACCACCTCAGACAACCCTCATTTCATCTGCTTGAGGAATCTGAAGCCTAGAGAAGTTAAGCAACTTCTACATTCCTACAGCAAATCTGGAACTAAGCCAGGGCGGGAACATGAGGTTTTTTGACTCCTCATTCTCTATATTTTATTACACTGCCGTCCAGATGTAAGAAAGAGAAAAGAACATTTTATGGGGAGTGGGGGCGAGGTGGGCAGAGGGCATGGGTTCCAAAGCCTGAAGGGAGAAACTAGCATAAATAGTTCAGTGTTCCTGCTTGGTCATCGACAGCGTCAGCTCGAGGAGATTTGGATTTTGTAAAATTAAAACGTGCTTGTCGGTGTTTGCTGCAATAAGGCCGGATACATCCCACTTGGGGGTTGCGGGGAGGGGGCTGCGGCAGCCTCTGTTCCAGCGGCGGCGGGCGGGCGCACGGGGGCGCCACCAGCCGCTGCGGGCTGAGAGCGCACACCTCCTCCGGGCCGCACGCTCAGCCGCACCTCCCCAGAGCTGCGATCCGGGCGGGCTGGGACGTCAGCCAATGCGGGCAACGTGCAGTGTACAGACCAGGGCAGCTTTCCTCTCGAGACGCAGCGGTTAAACTTCTACCGGCGCTCGGAGGGCTGCAGGTAGCTTCCAGGGGGGTTTCTTGCCCCCACCCGGAAGAGGCTGCCGCGCCCCCTCCCGCCCCGGCGGAGCTCAGTGTCACGGGGGCGGAGAAACGTGCGCAGCCCGCACGGAAGGCGTGCCCTGGAAGGAAGGGAAAAGAAGAGTGATTAGGAATAAATACTACAGTCCACCTCGGCCGAGACATGGAGAACCAGGCTGTCTTCTTCAGGGGCGTCAGGCCCAGTGGTTATATTCAGAGGATCCTGCTAGCGGGACCATTCCAACTTAAATGTTAAAGCACCTCTGCGGGCGCCTGGGTGGCTCAGTCAGTTAAGCCTCTGAGTCTTGATTTTGGCTCAGGTCAGGTGAGGTCAGGTCAGGTGGTGGGATAGAGGTTCATGTCAGCCTTCGAGCTGGGCCCGGAGCCTGCTTCACACTGTTTCTCTCAGTCTCTCAGTCTCTCTGCCCCTCCCTGGCTTGCTCATGCTCACTTGCTCTCAGTCTCTCTCTCAAAAAGGAGGGGGAGGGGAAGGGAGAGGAAAGTTCCTCTATATCAACTGCTTCAAGCGTCTCAAGCACTCCTACCCCTCCTCCAATCCCTGCAGAAGCCCAGGGGCGCCCAGTGGGGTGGGCACCCACCAGAGCTGAGTACAGACAGCCTCGACCTGGCTCCTTATAGAATAGCTCTAGGACCTTGGGCACGCTGTCTAACCCGGTATCTCTTCCCATTTCCTCTTCTGGAAAGGGGAAATAATGTAATATGCATCACGAGGCTGTCAGGATTAAATTCGTATCTAAACTGCTTTTCAGAGAAGTGCCTGGCACATGACAGACTCCCTATCAGTATTTACTATTAATAATAACACTATGCGCAATTAATTAGAACTCATTAGACCCGTAAACTCGTGCATTTACACGAAACAGTAATACACATATGGTAAGAACACAAAAAGATACATCAAGCCATCAGAATGGTTGCATATGTAGGAAATGGTGACCAAAGGGAATTAGCTACATTAAAACACTACTCCCTGAGCTCCATCCCCAGAGATTCTGATTCTGTGTTGATCTAAAATAGTGCTTGTCTTGCAGGTGGCCTGGGAATCTCTGTTTTTCTAAAACAAGCCCAGGAGATTATGATGCATGGATGAGTTTGGGACACACTAGGAGAGTTGTCAAGGAAAAACTCACTATTCGTAGAGAACACTTCTGTGCCCGGATATGGGAGGGGGGCTTTCCCACACCAAGCAATTTTGCAACACCAATTGGGTGTCCTCCTATACACTTCAGTTCTGGCACCAACCACACGTAGTACAGACCCTACAGGAAAGGGCTCAGTCCCACGAGACTGTCCCCCCAACTTCAGGTGCCAGTTGCAAATCCGGGCTGTCACCTGTGCTTCTGACCAGCCAGCTATAAATTGGGGTTCCCACAATCCCCACGTAGGGTTTTATAATTTGCTACAACAGCTCAGAGCTCATATTATTTTATAAGGGAAGTGATAAAGGGCACCGATGAACAGCCAGATGAAGAGGCATAGGGGGAGGTCTGGAAGGGTCCAGTACAGGAGCCTCCGTGCCTGTGGAGTTGGGGTGCACCCCCTCCAGGTGCACTCTCCAGGTGTTCACCAACCCAGAAGCTCTCGCAACCCTGTGTTGTGGGCAGTTTTGTGAAGGATTCTTCACACAGGCATGATCGATCATTAACTCAATCTCCATCTCTTCTCCCCTTCCCAGAGGATGGAGGTGGGAATGAAAGTTCTAAGCTGCTAATTATGGCTTGGTCTTTCTGGCAACCGGCCCCCAACCTTGAAGCTATCCAGGAGCTCAGGAAGAGTAGCCTCATTGTATCCAAAGACTGTGATCACCCAGGAAGGTCCAAGGCATTTAGGAGCCCTGTGTTAGGAACCTTGGTCAAAGACCAAATAGAACAAAAGATGTTCCTGGCGCTCTTATCATCTAGGAAATTCCAAGGGTTCTAGGAGTTCTGTGCCAGGAACCAGAGGCAGAGACCAGTGTCTGTATTTTCTGTTAGCTCACACTAAGAGAAGGAACATGTTCCTGAAGGAGCCTGGCTCACTTGGCCCCACATTCCAGCCCCGCCCCTTCTTTCTGTGCTTGGACCAGTTATTAACCTCAGTTGCCTTGTTTGTAAAAAAGAGATACTGCTATTTCATTAGTCATGACTCTTCAATTTGTAACTGAGAGAACTCAAAGTCGCTGAACAGAAAAGTAGGGGGGACATTTCTTGCTGCTCAAAAGCTAACCAAATAGTGCCACCCCAGGGATGACTGGACCCAGCCGCCCTGGCTTTTCAGGAGTGTATTTGTGTCTGATTGCCTCTCTCTCGGCATCCTCCCTCCCACCCCTGCCTCCATCTTGCTCCATCTTGATTTGGCACTGTTTGGTTTTACCCTCTCCTGCAAAGAACAGACTATGTCCATGTGGCAGGGACCATGACAGTAGGGGTCCAAGGTGTTGATTCTTCCAAATCCCTAACCAGGTAGGCAAAGTTGGGATCATCCCTGTTGGCTTCTGTGGAAATATCCTGGCGAGGATCCTGCACTGGCTCTGCATGGGTCACCTGCCATCTTGGTGACTGGAGCCAGAGACGTTGTGGCACCAGAAGTATGTCTGGACGGAGTGGGGAATGGAGGTGGGCGATGCAGAGAGTTCTGAGTGTACAATGATCATAATTACCATAGCCCTCAACTTGTAGGATTTTATGAGAATTAAGTAAGATGCTATATGTAAAAACATACTTGTGGTGCTTGACTGTGGATGGTGGACACTCAGATATTGGTTCCCTTGCCTTCCTGCTCTTGATGATCTTAATTTCAATAAAGGACGTTTACATAAGATGATCTAAACTCCTGTTCTTATTTGGATCTCCTGGGTATTTGGAGAAATAGAGCTGCAGCTATGTACATTATCTACTTTTGCTCACTTCTTCACCAAGTGTAGGGATATGAAGATTTAATTCCCTGACTTAATGTATCTGTAATTACTAAGCCACTTTTTAGAAGTATGTAAACACAGAAGTATAAAAGGTTTGTTCCTTCATTGGTTTTAAGAGATCTTTCAGAGTCTGTGTTTATTGTATGGTGCCTCGTTGATTTAATGGAAAGAAGTCTGGGGAGATCTGGTCATTCAACTTCTCAGAATTTGACTTTTCTCATTTATTTAGAAAAGATATGCTAATAAGCACCTGCCTGCCCATCTCAGAGGGGTGTCGTGGGAACCGATGTTAGGCATGATCTCTTTGTAAAATGTAAAAATGTAACGCTAGAGTTGACTTTGTTCCTTTAAATAAGCTCTTTAAAAGGGAGAGAAGAAAAGTTTCCCAAGTTGGGTTATGTTCTCATAAACTCTGGTATGACCTCAAATGGCTTTGAATAAAATGTCCCTGTGGCATAATTGAAACTTTCCTCACAGAAGCAGAATCCTGGGGGCCCGTGAGAATCCCCACCCAGTCGTTGCTGCAGGATGCTGCAGGCCAAGCCAGGAAAGAAAAAGTGAAGTTGCCTCACTACTTGCTGAGCTCCAAGCCCAAGTGTCAGCCTCTCACGAAGGTAAAATAGACACGGGGACCAATATTCCAGAGCCATTTCATGGGGTCCTGACCCATTGAATTTACTGATGTCCAGCCACTGGGGGCTGGGATTGACTAGACATACCATCATCTCCCCGTGAAGGCCTTCAGGTCACACAGAGAATGAGCCAAGGCCGTGCTTTGCCTGAGCCATCCTCCAAGCTCTAGGGGGGAATTTGAGGAGCCAGCTCTTAAACCATGACTAGCCTGAAATCACCCTGCTGGGAGTTCTCATACCCTAGACCTCAGCAAGTGCTACTAATCAACGTTCTTTTCAGAGCACCAGTTTACCAGCGCACTGCTGGCTAGGGGAATCATTGGCCATCCTTCCCCGCGACTCGTAGGATAAAATCCAAATGGTGGCATGGCCACAAGCCCTGTTTGCTTCTTTACTCTCACTTTGCACACACCACCCCCCCCCCCACTCACTTCAGCCATTGTGGGTTTCCCTTAGTTCTTTAAAAGCTCCTTCCTTCCTCAGACCCTCGAAGATTAAGATTCCTGCTCATCTCTTCTGGGAAGCCTGCCTTGAGCCTACCAATCCTTGTGATGGTTATCCTTTGATATTTTCATGGCAGCCCATGTTCATTGCCATCACATCAACTGTGTGATTGCCATGTGCATAAATGTTCATGGTAAGAGTGCTTCTCAAACTTTGATGCACGCAAGGATTACCTGGGAATCTTGTTGGCATCGAGATTCTGAGAGCCTGCAGTTCTGACAAGTTCCCAGGTGAGCGCAGCGCTGCCCAGGAACAAGAAAACAAAGAGCACAGAGTGTGATTACCTGACCAGCAGCACTGGCAACAGCTGAGAACTTGTTATAGATGCAAATTCACGCCCGCCCCCTCCCCTGCCACCTCCCACAATTACTGGTTGAGAAACTATGGGGGTAGAGTCAGCAATTCATGGCTTAACAAGCCTCCCAGGTGATTCTGATGGAAGCTGAAGTTTAATAGTCACTGGCACAGAGGAAAGGGCCTAACGCTTAGAATCAGCCCCGCTCAAGTATGAGACTTTACTCTGCCACTTACCGTGTGAGCAAATGACACCTTACACTTCTCGGAATGACAGCTTCTTTACCCTGAAAGCCTTAAATCCTTCCTCACGGTTGGAAGTATGACATGAGAGCGATAATGTTCATTTCCTCCCACAGCCAACCAGTTCTTTTCCTCCGGCGATAGAGTCGTTTTCTTATCTTAACCAGTTCTTTTCCTCCGGCGATAGAGTCGTTTTCTTATCTTGGGAACACAACTTGGAACCATTGTCTTTTACTTTTTCCTTAACTGCAAAGGTGCAAGATTCGGTTGGAGGAAAAGTGAAAACATCCTCTGTGGCGTCTGCTGCCATTAATAATGTGAATTCATCCCCTTTTGGATTCCACCTCCTCCCACCATTCGTGAAGTTCGGAGTACTCAAAGAAGGACACACCTATGTGACCACTGTGAAGCTCAAGAATGTTGGAGTGGACTTTTGCAGGTGAGCCCAAGGCACCAAGTGTCTACTCAGATCACTTTCTCCTACTCCGAGACTTGCCTTTGGCTACCGACATCACTGAATGTTGATTGAACTGAACTCTACACCTTGACTCTTGAATCTTCACATCATTCATTCAACCATTTTTTTCATTCATTCATTCATTCATTCATTCATTCATTCATTCATTCTTCATCAGATCAGTATTTCTCAAGCCTTAACTATGTGGTGGGAACTTCTTTGTTCTCCCCTTAATCATTATTCATACTTTGGTAGAAGCAACTCAAGGGCTGATCCACGGTAGCAAAAAATGAAGGGGAGCTTGTACAAGTGTTACAGCAACTAATGCACAAAACCTAAAAGCCTGTTTCTCAAATCCACCACCCACTGTGATACCAGCTGACATTTGTTCGTATTTTATGATCTAATAGGGATTTTAATTCCACTAATTCTGCATCATTGAGGCAAAAAGGAAAGAAAAATTAACCTGAAGTCATTAGAGCCGTTTTGCCTCGGATATTCTGAGTTGGCTGTAACTCAGAGCTGAACTCCCAATTGAAAATGCCCTATATCTGGCACTCAGTGACAAGAGTCCTTCATTTCCAGATCATTAGAATTTATTTATTTTTAATTTTTTAAAAATTTATTTCTGAAAGAGAGACAGCGTGAGCAGGGGAGGGTCAGAGAGAGAGGGAGACACAGAATCCGAAGCAGGCTCCAGGCTCTGAGCTAGCTCAGCATAGAGCCTGACATGAGGCTCAAACCCATGAACTGTGAGATCATGACCTGAGCCGAAGTCAGACACTCAACTGACTGAGCCACCCAGGCACCCCAGATCATTAGAATTTTAGAACTTGCAGAGACTATTACAGAGGATCAGAGTAATGTGTTGTAAGGTCACATAGGCTAGAGCGGGGCTGGATCTCAGGTCCCCTGTTTGTTGTGGTGCCTTGTTTTGTGTTCACTGCTTCATGTGGAAGTTCAGTCCTTCCCACTGGGCCAATAGACCATATGTCTATACCAGGACAACCCCCAATTACAAAATCTCCCCTATTCTATTTTGGATTAAACTTAAGCATAATATGTCTCCCTCCGCACCCCCCCCCACCCCGCCCCGCTGCCAACAGTGAAATAAATGTTTATTTCAATTGCAGAGCTATGCTCATTGTAAGTGGCAAGTCCTTCCAGCCTATGGTTCTGGACTCCAGACCAGAAATCTGGTTTAGAAGGTCAATGTCTCACTTTAGTTGAGGCATATGCCCAGCTTCAGGAATCACATTGGTTTCTTCAGAAACAGCCAGACCACCAGATCAGACGTATTGTCTTTTTAGGTTACTGCCAACAAAGTGGGTGGGGAAAACAGAGAACCAAGTTCAAACCAATAAAACTCATCCATGCGGATCCTGTCTGCTCAGTATAGAATTTGAGCTTTTGGGATTTCACTCCCTAGCTTGTTAAATTCAGCCGCTATGGCACAGACAGCAAAGTTGATGGTGGAAGGAGCGGGATTGAGGTCAATGGGGAGGTGGGCTCTCCCTGGCATTTTAATTTACTCCAGGTCTTTAACCTTGAGGCAGAACCCACAAACCACAGGAAGGGAAAGGGATCAATAGGCACCACGTGTGGGCACGGGGCCTTTCACGTTCTCCAACATTTTCTGAGCCTTTTCTGTTTCCCTTCTCCCCAAACATGCACGCCCCATTCCACGACAGAGCGAGACCGGCCCCCATGCTCCCCTGCTTTCCAAAAGAGCCTTTATTCTTCAGCTTAATGATCTGGCAGCCGGCACCGGTGTTCACACTGCTCAGCAGCATCCAGGAACATAGGCTTGAAACTGGGCTTGGATTCTGTTTGACGCTGGTGGAAACTATTGTTGGAAACGGGGTCATGCAGCAATAGCACTGCTAGGAATTTACCCAAGGGATACAGGAGTGCTGATGCATAGGGCCACATGTACCCCAATGTTCATAGCAGCACTCTCCACAATAGCTAAAATGTGGAAAGAGCCTAAGTGTCCATCAATGGACGAATGGATCAAGGAGATGTGGTTTATCTATACAATGGAATACAACATGGCAATGAGAAACAATGAAATCTGGCCATGTGTAGCAACATGGATGGACCTTGAGGGTGTTATGCTGAGCGAAGTAAGTCAGGCAGAGAAGGACAAATACCATATGTTTGCACGTATAGGAGGATTAGAAGGAGCTTAACGGAGGACCATGGGGGAGGAGAAGGGGAAAAATAGTTGGGGAGAGGGAGGGAGGCAAACCATGAGAGACTCTTAAATGCTGAGAACAAACTGAGGACTGATGGGTGTGGGGGGATGGGGGGAGATGGGCATGGAGGAGGAGGGCACTTGTTGGGATGAGCACTGGGTGTTATATGGAAACCAATTTGACAGTAAACTATTTAAGAAAAAAATAAAGTGAAATATCCAGAATTTAAAAAAAATTTTAAAAAGGAAACGAGGTCATGAAGTGGGCCCACATTCTTCTCCCAACTGAATATTAGGTGGTTCTCCCAATGGTGCAGACAGACCCCCGGCTCCCTGGTAGCCAATATTAACACCTTCCTGGTTTTATGACATTCCCGTTCATTCGCTGCTTTTTTATTGTCTCTTTTTGCCTGGTAGGTTTAGGGTGAAGCAGCCCCCGCCCAGCACAGGACTGAAAGTGACATACAAACCCGGGCCTGTAAGTCCCACATGCCGCCTGCTGTGTGTCCATGTGTGCATGGGAATGTGTGCTTGATTCCAGGGGAAGTGGGCTTTTAGGTCATCCTGTGCATTCCGTTTAAATCATGTGGAAGTCTAATTTTTCTAGTATCACAAGCAAAACGTTCCTGGTATTGGTATAGTGTGTGGCTTGATATCACTTACTTTGCGTAGGGACCATGAGGCAGATCCTATGCATAGACAGAGTTAAACATCCAGCTCTAGAAACTTCTCTGAAGTTCATTCACTTGTCCCAGGACTGCAACTACGTATAGTTGTAAGAAAACTACCTTCTTAAAAATTAAATATGATTTGACATACGCTTAGAAAGCTGATTGCCTCAAGGTATCCTGTAATAAATTCTTCTGCAAAATGAAAAATCCCTTGGAAAAATAAACATTCTCCTCTTCGTATTTTATATACATTTGGTTTGTTATTTTGGTGTTTGCCAAGGGAATATTATCTAATGACATACAAAGAAATGGTAGCATATTAAAGTCATCAGCTGCCTCATTTTTCCAAGGAGCTTTGAAAATGCCAATTTTAAAAGGTCAGCCTGTTCTGACTTTGACACATTCCCCAACATGGGGTGTTTAATATAAAATCTGTACATTGCCACCCACTTTAAATTATTATTTCAGAAATGTAGTATCAAGGAAACAAAAATTTACAAATATATAAATATACAAAATATAATATATAAAATAAGATATAAAATATAATAAAATCATGCCAGTAAATCTTAACATTTATTTCTGGATCAGCACATCAGCTTGTTTAACATTTCTTCCATTTCACTCAACAAACTTTGAGTTACCCGTGCAAGCCACTGATGGAGACAGGGTACAGGGGATGTTAAAAATGAGGAGGATGCACAAGTTGCTCGCAAAGCTGGGCACGTAGCGGGGACGCAAGAGATGGATGACTAGGTGACGAGTGAAGTGAGGACACCTGGCAGACACGGGGTCGTTGGTCACAGACCGGGAGCGCGCAGACTCACGGGAACTCGGAGCAAGGACATCCACTCCTGTAACCAGAGGACAGTGTTCGCTGAGTCCCAAGAGCTTGAAAACAGCCAGAGGTGTACATGGACACATTCGGGTGGTGTGAAATCTGTTGGTTTCTTGTTATGACTGCCACTGGCGGCTCAGTGCAGTTGATTAATTAAACCCTCTGTGCCTTGTTTTCCTCATCTATAAAAGAAGTTTGCTTAGACCCAATAATTTCTTAGTCCTTTTCCAGCCCTGATATTTTATGGTCTATAAAACAGTAGTTGGCAGCCTGCAGTTCCAAACAGAGATATACTTTGGGATTAGACCCACCAATTTGTGAGTACCTCTCTGACACAGTTCATCATTGCACTGTGTCAAGATTTCAGAAATGTCGCCTCCCTGGGGTGCCTGCAAGGCTCAGTCGGTTGAGCGTCCCACTTCACCTCAGGTCATGATCTCACAGTTTGTGAGCTCAAGACCTGAGTCGGGCTCTGTGCTGACAGCTCAGAGCCTGGAGCCTGCTTTGGATTCTGTGTCTCCCCGTCTCTCTGCCCCTCCCATGATCATACTCTGTCTCTCTCTGTCTCTCAATGATAAATAAACGTTTAAAAAATTTTAAAAAAAGATTTCAGAAGCATCACAACATAAAGGAAAAAAAAAAGCAAGCTCTTCTTCCACTGTTCTGGGAAGTTAGCAAATTTCTTTTTATTTAAAGTAGGGGTGATACCCAAAGCCAAAATGACTGTTGGAGGGATCTTTATAGGTACTAAAAACCCAGCGTGTATTCTTTGAAGCTCACTCTCAACTGTTAGTTTTTTTTATTTTTATTTTTTCTTTTTGACAGTAAGTCTTGGCTCTGTACAAGTATAACCTATAGACTTGTCCATATGTAAAGCTAACCGCTATTCAGCTTGGTTGGTTGCCAAGGCAGAGGGAATGTGCTCAGAGCCCTGGGCAGACCTGAGTGATGGCAGGATGCCATGCAGAGTGGCGTCATCCCAGCCCTGCCCTCAGTGTTGGGCTCCAGGGCACAGGGCCTGGTCCTCAGACACAGAGCGCTGGGTACTCTCCAGTAAGCATACTTTCACAAACACATTGTTGAAAAAGTGGAAACATTTTGTTTCAGTCCTATTATTTACAAACTATACTGAAAGAAAAAGAAACTTATATCTAACTGCTTTCCATGCGGTGGTTTCCGGTGTATTTTTTCCAGATCATTGTTCTCAAGTCTGCTTCTTAGCCTACCTCCCGGAGAGGCAGCTTAGGAACACAAATAGCTCTTTCTTTCCTGGCCTGTGTTCTCATCTAGGAACAAGGCAAGAAGCCCATTCCTTGCTGTGTTTCTTCTTTGTTATATATCGGGTTTCTTCTTTGTTGATCCAGACCTCTTCCATGTAGCTTTTAGACCGAAGCGGTTTGGCATTTAAACTCATTCTGTATCCCTCTACTGGCTCTGTCACATCGTAGGCCCTCCATTAGGAACTAAACCAAGAGGCAGGGCCGAGAAGATGTGCAATTCACATAAGTCTCTTATTTTAAACTTCTCTTTATCCGCAAGGGTGCCCATAGGAACTCACTGCTGACATTCAGGAAAGCGCACAGTTGCGAGCATTGTAAAAGTTTGCCTTCAGTGCCACCTCCAGAACACTGACGCTTCTTCCCAAGTAGCACCTGGTTTTCTCCTTCAACAATTTAGCCTGGGTCCCCGTTGCCCAGTGGAAATCTACCTAGCTAATCTACGAAGTAATTCTTCTAAGTGCTGTAACATTGTTCGTTTATTAGCGCTAAATTTATAGACAGAAAGCAAAGTTAGAGAGTTTAACTAACTTGCCCAAATTCATGTTAAAGCCAAGAATTGAACTCCAATATCTGATTCTAAAGCTACATTGTGTCCCATAGGTGGCAGCAGGTTTGCAGACAGATCTGAAAGTGGAGCTATTCGCCATGGCTGTTGGAGAGGAAGGTGCCAAGGGATCAACACACGTCTCGCACAATATTGAGATTATGACTGAGCATGACATCCTGTTCTTACCTGTGGAAGCAAATATCCTTTAAGGTTCAATTTGAATAATCATAAATAGAGCAAAAATTACAGTTGAGCAAGGAGAAAACATTAGAATGCTAGTCCCTACCCCCTCACACCTGCACCCCATAGCTTCATTAATTCTGTTTCTAAAACCGTACAGTTAAATTTCTTAGGATAAAGACTGTGTCTTTCTTCATCTTTGTGAGCATCTAGCAAAATGCCTGTTAAAAGTACATGAACAATAACTACAAGTTGAATGAATGCCAGTGTTAATGGCTGTCTAAATGGTATCAATCAGAATTGTTTTTAAAAGCAAGTCTTGGTCATAAAAAATTATAATCTTGTTAGGGAATAGGAGATGCCTTCTGTTATAAAGGATAAATGGATATTCATGGAATTACACATACACACCTTCATATTGGTGTTTCTTGCATATTGATAACATACAGGGATCAAGTAAACTACTATATACAAGGTACTGTATGAAATATTTTATCATATATAAAAATGATAATTATACTTTCTTAACAGACTTATATAATCTAGAAGCAGAGTCTTCACACTTGATTCCTATATTGCTTTGTACCACAGTGACATGAGTGATATAGTACTTTGTATTACAGTTATATACTTATCTATTTGGCATTTGAACTAAGTCTTATAAACGCAAAAACTTTTGATGAAAGGAGACTTGAACAAATAAATCCACAGCAATAGGAGAGCTCTGGGTGTTGGGAAGTATAGGGGATTCAAGTTTTTGAGACCTTAGGGAGTATTAGGAAACATAGTTGGGAAGCTGTGGATGATTTTGAATCCTTGCTTAAACTTTATTATATAAGCAAGAGTGAATCATTGATCCACTGGATGATATAATCATCATATTTTTATAAAGATGAATCCAGCATTACCATGCTGGATATGCTGTAGGAAAGCAACTTGATGCAAATAGAAACAAAGAGCCATTGGAAGTCTGCTTCATTAGGCCAAGCATAAGGATAGGAACTATCCTGTGGCAATTGTGGAAGAGGGACATGGGTAGACAGACACTTGGTGAGGGAGAGGAGCCTGTAAAATCTGAGGCGGAACCCATTGATGGGAGGAAGTAAGAGGACTTAAGAGTTCAACTCCAAGGTTTTGGGCTTAGGTAATGAATCATAGACATGCAGGACTGGATCTCAATTGAAGAGACAAAACAGGAGATGTAATAATTTTAAGCATCATCTACAAAGAGGGGACAATTGAAGGTAAGGAAAAGGAGTAGAGACTTGGGGTCTGTTTAAGGAGTAGAAGGAAGAAGAGGAGGCAGTGGCGACAGAACAAGCAATCAGAAAACCAAGAAATATCTCAGAAGCCATATAAAGAATTACAAGGAAAACACGGACATGGTTGACAGGTGCTATGGAGATATCAAGGAGAATTCAGATTTAAGTAGGATTCCTAGATTTGGCTGAAGGGAATGGATCGGAAGAGAAACATTTTAAAAATATGAATGAGAAGAAGTACTTGAGGCAGCAATATCTGAAGAACAAGAGAATAGTCACGAACAGAGCTGAAGGCTTAGTCTTGGCAAGGGAGTGGGTGAAGACGGCTAAGGGTCCCGACATTGATGTGAAGGGGAAATCTAGGGCAGCTTGTGTCAGATGACCTTGATTTCAGTGGAAATGGAGCTGAATTCATTCATTGATGTATTTCAAAGAGAAGCACCTCTAGTGTGCTAGGCACTGCTCTGGGCACCGGGGATACAGCAGTGAGCAAGACACAAAAACCCCTGCCCTCGTGTAGCTTATGTTCCAGTGGGAGAACAGACTGTACACAAAATAAGTAAAACATGGACTGCAGTGGGGCTGGTAAGTTCCATGGGGAAAAATAAAAAGTAGGAAAGGGGGTACTGGGAGTATTGAAGACTGCAGTTTAAGATGAGATGTTCAGGAATGACCTCACTGGGGATGTGATTTTTTTTCCCCGTGTTGACGGCAAGGTTCTTCTGCAGTGAAAGAAGGAAACTAACCAAAGAACCAGCTTTTTCCTCTAGGAATTAAATCAAGTCTTTGCATCCTCTTCACACAAGTTATGAGATGCTGACCCAGAGTATCTGTATCCCTGCTGCTGGTTATGGTAACTAAGTCATTTTGCATTTATGCTCATGGATTAAAGGCCACCTGTCAGCCACAGATAGATGGGGAAGAGAATTTTATTAGATCTTTTACCTACTTCTAATGGCTGTAGTGAGAATTCGTAGCCCGTTTCTCAAGATCTGTCCCTTCCCCAGAAAAAAAAAGCATGACCTCTAGACGTTGATGTGATTTGGGACCTGATTATGGCGATTGATGGCTCCTATAGGAAGACTCATCACATTCAGCAGAGAAGCACACAATGGGTGGACAGGAGAAATTCCAGGAAATCAATGCACACACTGGAAATCAATATCCACCCTTCTTCCTCTAAGCCTGAGTCTGGAGCATTCACATTGCATGGTAAAGTACCCAAAATGGAGCTAGGGAGGCTGGAGAGAAGATTCTGATTCTAAAATGTTATGAGTTTGTCTAAACAAATCATTTGGTCACAAAAGCAATAATCCTTAACATAATTTTACCAGTCTTAACAAGCAGCAATTATGATAAGAGACCAAAAGACTATCCTCAGGGAAAAGAAAATCCCATGGTCCAGAGGACTTCTACAATTTCTTCTTCTGCACTTGGAGTCTTCATGTCCCGTAAAATTTCTCCACATTAGGTCCGGTAAGTAATAGATGGGAATTTGATTGTTAACCATTCATATGTGAGGCCTTAGACCTCGTGTTTGTTCCTTTCTTCTTACAGCCAGAAACCAGTGACATAGCTACTCCTTTACTTACATCATCATATCTAATCCTCACATTACCGATAAGATCGGTATTCCTTCCCACCTTACAAATAAGGAAACTGAGACTCAGAGAATCTTAAGTATTTGATGTAAAAATCTAACCTACTTCAATGTGATTCTGAAGTTCATTCCTTTTTTTAAAAATTATTTTTTGTAATGTTTATTTTTGAGAGAGACAGAGACAGAGTGTGAGCAGGGGAATGTCAGAGAGAGAAGGAGACAGAATCCAAAGCAGGCTCCAGGCTCTGAGCTGTCAGCCCACAGCCCAACATGGGTCTCGAACTCACAAACTGTGAGATCTTGACCTGAGCCCAAGTTAGATGTTTAACCAGGGCTTGAACTCATGGACAGTGGGATCATGACCTGAGCTGAAGTCAGACACTTAAATTGACTGAGCCATCCAGGCACCCCTAAAGTTTGTTCTTTTAAGTGCTATTTTCAGTGTTGAGCTGACCTTCCAAAAAGGAGGGGCATTGACACCAGGATGTCCTTCTGGACTTGAAAATTTACAAGTAAGCCAGTGGTTCTCAAACGTTTTGAGAATGGATTCTTTATATATTCTAAAAAATTACTGAGGACCCCAAAGAGCTTTAATTTATGTGGGTCCTATCTCCCACGTTTACCAAACTGGAATTAATACTGGGAAAAATTACCAATGTAGAGACCGTTATAAACCCAGTATATTAACATAGATTTTTAAAAATGAAACATTAACTGTTTTCCAAAACAAACAAGTATTACTCATGGGATAGTGTTATATTTTCATAAATCCTTTAATATCTGGCCTAATAGAACATGACTGGATCCATACCCCAGCTCTGCATTCAGTCTGTCACGATATCAGGCATTGCACAGCCTCCAGAAAACTCCACTGTACACTTGTGAGAGAAAAGGCAAATAGTATCTCGTATGTTTCCTGGTGCTGCGGAAACAAATCTGTGCTTGTTTCTTGCGGCTGCCAGGAGAAAGTCACACAGATCAGGTGGCTTAAAACAACAGATAGGCTCTTGCAGTTCAAGAGGCCAGAGACCCAAAATCAAGCTGGGGGTGGGGGGGTGGGGGGAGGAGATGGGGAGTTGGCTCCTTCTGGAAACTGAGGGAAGATTTGTCCTATGCCTCTCTCCTAACATCTCATGGCTGCCAGCAAGTCTTGGTATTCGTTGGCTTATTACCGCATAAGGTTCATCTCTGCCTCTGGCTCAAATGGCACTCTTCCCCATATGTGTATGTTTCTGTGTGTCTCTCTCCTTGTAAGAACGCCATTCATTAACCCAAAAGTATACAGCCAACTGATCTTTGACAAAGCAGGAAAGAATATCCAATGGAAAAAAGACAGCCTTTTTAACAGATGGTGTTGGGAGAACTGGACAGCAACATGCCGAAGAATGAAACTAGATCATTATCTCACACCATGCACAAAAACAAACTCAAAATGGATAAAGGACCTGAACGTGAGACAGGAAACTATCAACACCCTAGAGGAGAAAGCAGGAAACAACCTCCTTGACCTCCACCGCAGCAACTTCTTACTTGACACATCCCCAAAAGCAAGGGAATCAAGAGCAAAAATAAACTGTTGGGACCTCATCAAGATTAAAAGCTTCTGCACAGC